CACTCAATATTTTGTCACATGGGCTGCAATGAAACAGAAATCACCTCCGGTATGGAATGTGCGCAATTCTATGGGACGTTTTCGGATAGCATTTGCGCACATTGTCTAATCGCGGTCTTGAACAGCTGCAGCCAGATGCTTAAATACATAGGTCACAGGCCACTTCCTTCACAAGATTCTGTGAAGCTCATCAGAGTATCCCAGCGTCCTGTTTGCAGGGCAGGGGGTACGAGCGAACTAGAGCAATAGACTTGTACACGTGTCAGTCTGTTACTGTCAGTCTGTTACCATGGTTTATTTCAAAAATAACAAAATGGTACATGAATTTTCTTTGTCAATTTTGTTCATAGCTGGATGACAACAGAGAATCCAAAAAAGATCTAACAAATATAAAAGACTAAAAAAACTTTTTTTTAGATATTTCGGTAACAGACTGACACATAGTTTTGGTAAAATTTAAAAGCGGAAGGGTTTTGAGTAAAATCCAATACAAATTCAATTTTGTAATATTAGGAAATAAAATGCGGCTTTTTGCTTAAAAATTACAAAATTCAAGAAAATTTGTCAAAATATACTTAATTAATTGGCAAAAAATATCTAAAATTGCAATTTATTAAAATTTTACTTTTTAACCAATAAGTGCTTTTTAAAGCCATTTTCATGTCAATTTTGTATTTGATGTAAAATTGAGTATTTTTTTTTTGTATTCTGTACCTTAGGCCAAACAAAAAAAATGGTGTGTTTACGGTAACGGTCTGTGTTTATGGTAAAGGTAGGTAGGGGAAATAATTTTATTTTGTAATTTTTTTTTTATTTCAGTTCTGCAGGCTCATGCGTGTTTGTATAAAAACATTTTTCAAGCATTCAAGATACTCATCGATACATTTCATTCCAGTATACGGCCCAGTATCAGTATCAGTGTGCATTACTGCACTGTGTACGGCCCATCCCATGTGGCCGAAAATCTTGCACTACTGCAGAAACACGCTATGATGTTACGCCAAGAGTTCGAGCTTTGCAATCTTGTCATTTTAATGGAAAACACATACACAGAAAATAAAGATCACGTTCTGTGAATTAATTCGCAGAAATTCTCTTTCTCCATCGATGTTTGTTTGGTATTTTTACGATCCAACTTCGGCCGACGTCACAACATCATCATTGTACGACGTTTGTATAGGCAGTAGTCACTGGTTCCGGGCCTTCATTATAGTATTGATTCCGTTAGACGCGAAGGGAACCAGTGCACCATGCTGTATGTGCTGCATGCCTGTCAGCTGGCGGTCGACAGAACCCGTCATCGTACGTGCATTTTGATCACACATGCATCAGAAAAACAGGATTTTTGTCAAGATATTGCATGTCAAGATGAAATAATGGCATATGTAACGATTATATTGTGCACTTTAATGGCGTCAATAATAATTATATAGTGCATATCGTCGGGCCGATTCGCAGTACGCAAGTTTGTACGTGGGGAGAACCATGCCGTCCGTCGGCCAGGCGCACCAGTTCACCCCGATGCGTTTGTGCAAAAATAATCGTACTTCATGTAGTTTGAGAATTCAAGTTTTGAGATCGTCGCAATTTGCGCACGTTTAACACAGGTATGTTTGTGTCAAATCATGGTCAGTTTCAAGTATGGAAAATGGTCTATGGTTGTGGCAAATAATTAAAAGTACTTGACATTTTTGAAATAATCAATATCAACCTTCAAAATTCCAGGTCAGTCGGGTTACCATAAACACACCATTTTTTTGTTTGGCCTTATCAGCTTCAACATGGTAGCCAATATGACCATTATGAAAAACAATTTATGACCCTCAGGATGACATTTCCACGGAATTGCCCCACCCTACATAGAGTATGCACGACATGCACAATTCGTGTTCACATAATTAATGTACAGCCAGAAAAACACACACATTTGCATGCCCCAAATGCTTGAATCATTTGGCCTAAAGCCCTTTATCCAAAAGTATACACAATACACTTACTTTTAACATCCAGATTAGATGCAGATAATTCTTCGGAAAAGGTGAATCTCTGGAATAAAGTGCCAGTAACCCTCAGCTATTGTTAACCCCGATACACGTCAACTACGGAAACAGTGAGAGAGCGAATGTAACACTCCCACTGAGTAAAATTATCACTCCTCAATGAAATAGTTATAGTTAAAATGAAAAGTAGGCTACAATTTACCCCTTACAATGTTCTAAAGGGATCAATAATAAATTATATCAACAAAAACATCTCATCCAATTAGCACACATGTTTCCCGAACATGGCAAAGGCGGGCACTACTTTTTGTGTTGCGAATACATAAAATTGTTTGCATGACTAAAGCGCCAGGCAATTAAAGGGACTTGTTCAATACTGTGTTATAACACACATGCAATATGCACCACGCTATACATTAAAGGGCAAAACCTACATGTATTGTTGATTGAATAATGGTCACATCGTACTTGACAAAGGTTTACCTACACTACAGCGGGCCAGAATGCTAGAATCTATTCAAGTTCAGCATTCCTCGTTGCAACGTCACTACCCCATTTATTGGGTTTGTATCCCACTGACTCTCACAGACCTTGATGCAAATTCTGTCAACAATACCGAATGAAAAAGCTGCCACAAACAATCCCATATTTGGTGCTGCCCTGCTGCTTACGGATTAGCACAGCAGGTGAAAGGAATAATGGTGATATGGGACTATTGCTGGTGCTTTTCATTTCTGTTGGAGTACATGTACTCACCTCAGTGACAAAGTCTTTATTAGGCAAACTCAATCTGTTTGTCTTTAATGAGTGATTGGCTTACAGCATACAGCACACACCCAATATGTAATTTTGTTCACATTTTGTGGGGATTTATTAGCAAACTATAGATTTTTGGAAACTGTGTTGTACAGGGTGTCCCAAAACAAATGACACACTAACTTTGATCGCAACTTCAAAAAAAAGTATCAGAATTGAAAAAATCAAATGGGAACAGAGAGTGCAATTATTTTGCTACATTTTGGTGAAAAGTGCATTTGATTTGGTTCAGTAGTTGCAAAGAAATGAGCGATTATGTAACACTAGTCAAAGAACACTTCCTTCCAAGTTTGCTCATATTTTAGGAATCTACAGTACATTGAGTACCAATTACAATGGACGGAAGGTGATTAGAGAGGTGACAATTATATGATTTTCATCTTTTCATGATATTCTCAGATCTGGGGTGATATCACTGCCGGTCACTGACCTTAAACGACTACCTAACGGTGGGTGAAAACAAAAATCACCGCCATTTTCACTTCAAGTGTGTGTGTGTGAGTATAAACACCGGCAAGCGTGGACGTAGGACAAAAGAATTGGGGCGCAAACAATACGTCCACGATTGACCGAACGTCCACGATCTCAAATCGTGTACAAAACCAATGAGAGCTGTCGCTAAAAAGTTAGAGTACAAACAAAGGAAAGAGTATTAGGGACAATGGGGCGTCCACGATTGCCGGCATTTATGTGTGTGTCGTGTGTGTGTTAAAGTCCATGCACATGGTTCCTTATGGGGCAGTTAAAACAATAGAACAATAGACCTCACGAGGAAGTCTGCAATCTATCTGCCCCATTAGGGAAACGCTATGGACTTTGAGATAGGAACAAAGGAGAACAAAACTAAACAAAGGTCTTCCCCCAAGAACCCATATGTACTGTACGCCCTGTTTTCTTTTTTGTGAAAGCTACTTTGTGGCATTGTTTTCACCCAGTGGATTAGCAGGTCACCAGTTCTGGTCAAAATACCTGGGATTTAAATCCGAGGCTCTTTGTATTATTGTTAAGGCGATCTCTAGCAATTGGCAATCTCTAGCGGTACTTTGCCTGGCCTTCAAAAGGAAACTTATCCATGTCATGTGTAGAAGAAACCAACATCTATGTAGGATCATGTAGAAGCATTATCATTCAATTTTACACAATAAGCATCCATGAACTTGAATTCTAAAGTTCTAGTTCTCACTGAACTTGACGCATCATCATGACTTTCAGACTTGAACATGACATCCTGAGAGTCCTCATCACTCTGGTACACTGACAAAGGTCCACATATTAACAATGATAACATCATAATATTTAGCCCGGAAAACACAAAAAAGAGGGGAAAAAAGATGTGTCCGTAAACTGGGCTAAAAATTAGGAGAAGCCTGGTCTTAACGTGGGAGACTAGAACAATTTCAAAGTAATCCCCCCAAAATTTAAGAGATTATGGTTGTTGATAATAATTATGCAAACGTCAAACATTTTCTTACGTACATGTAGGCAAATTTGGATGTTTCTTTGAACTTGTGGAAGTCCCCCAGGTTAGGCAGCCCTTTGCTTTATTTTTAGGTAAAATTATAGACACCTCATTTCCCCCCCCCCCCTTTTTTTTGTTTTCTGGGCTATACTTGTATCATAATGTTATCATTGTCAAAATGATTTTCCATATAGAAGGTGAGTTAAATAAAAAGAAACCCAAATGTCGGGACTATTGTTTCAGTGACGTTCTGCATGTAGGACTTTCAAAATCTAGGATATGAAAGCCCAATTCAAAAGCTTTCTTTTAGTAGAAGAATCATTCAAATCACTCATGTACTTTTTAAGCAACAGAATTTTAAACACAACCACTGTTTTAAAGTTCTGTCCACGGATCACAAAACAGGTGTGCGTTCTTTCAGCAAAATGAAGACAATTATTAAACACACATCCCTACAGTATGTGATTTGTTTTCCTTTTGCTGAAAGAACACTGAACTTTTTGTGTTTATGGTGTAAATCAAGGATTTTCTGTTGTTCTTCTTCCCTTTTCCTTTGTTTTTTCCCCTAACTTTTTTGCAACAGCTTTCATTGGTTTTGTACACATTTTCTAATCGAGGTCGTCCTTGATTTTGGTTCCTTTCCTCAATTTATCGATGATGTTGCACGTGTGTGTTCTCAATTTACACAATAAACACACACATATTGTCAGCCTAAGTGAACCTACCATGATACGGGTCTTGACACACATCCATGGCTTGGCCGGTGTCAATTCTTGCTGTCCTCTTTGGAGGTTTGTGGCCATGAACTTCCTGTATGCATCTTCATCGGTCTCTGCAAGCTCATCCAGCATTGACCAAAAGCACTGTGCCTGCTTCATCAGGTCATGTTGGACGCCTGTCGCCATAGTTTACTGAAATTGGAAAAGAAGGGAGCAAATTTTTAAAATGGCGTCCACGCGATATTCGCAACGGAGCCCTCGCCGATAAATGGTACATTTCACTTTTCATCCAGATTGTAAGTAAAGCTTAGTATCTCGATCTTCAAATCATCAATCTGTAATTGTATCTCAGGTGGCGTACAGGTATGTTAATGTAGTAATTCTGTGGCCGTTTTGAGGGTGAGATTTGATGTTTTTGTTGGCAAATGGTTGGTTGTTAATTATTTGAAACGCCATGTAAGTACTATCGCCAGATCATGTCCAAATGTTGAAAATAATGCAGGGGCTACTGTTGTCGCAATTGCTATCGTTAAAGTAGGCCTATCTTGACAATTTCCGTAAAAAAAAGGCAGTGGATATTTTGCCGGAGACGGCAAAACTACAGTAAACGTTAGTTTGCCGGATATGCACTGAACATGCGCAGTTACTGGTTTTTTGTACTTCAACATTTTCCGGTGACAAATTTTAGTCTGGCTCCATGCCAATATTATCGTTGTAACCTCGTATTCACAGGATGGGATTCAGACCATTTTACAATTTCCGACTTTATTTCCCTTTAAAAAAAAATCCTCCAGAGCCACAAATCTGAAAAAGAAAATGTAATACTCTGCAATAAAATGTTTGAGACATGTTAAAATAATAAAAGAAGAATATTCTTATTTATTTGGGGATAAAAAAAAAAACCTTAAAAACGTGGCAAGGGTCAGGATTCGAACTCGGGACATCCCACTCTCTAAAGCTATTGCTTAACCACTGCACCAACTGTGCTACACAACTTTAGAGGGAATTTAATACATATTATAATTCAGCCCTATCTTAAAGAGTACAGCGCCCTCTGTTGACATGGATTGCCGCCGGCAAACCTTTAGTAAACGTTAGTTTGCCGGCGTTACCTCCGGCAAAATATACACTTCCTAAAAAAAAACGCCAGTTCCAACGGCTGTCGTCCATTTTGTTTTGGTAAATATGTAAATGTATGCATCACGTGATGACATCAAAAAAAATCTGCGTGCGTGATGTATGTAGGTACCACACCACTTTCAGGCGCCGCAAGTGAGTTCAATTTTCATCTGGTGCGTTGTCGTGGAGAGCATTCTCGTTGTCAACTGGAGTTACTCAAGCTATCACTCAGCCAATGAGCATGATCAGCATTGAGACTTCGACATTGAATCAAACTTTCAAAGTTGCCATCTTGTTTTTTTAACCTGTTTTCTGGTTGTTGTCGTCCCCTTTCACCTCATAATTTCCCCCATAAATCGAAGATATGCCCTCTTTCCACAAAATACTAGGGCCTACTTTTCACAAAAGGAAAGAATGCAGTATTCAGCATTTGTGTACAAAGTCTATGGAAATTCAATAAGATTCTCAAAGTATTTTTTAACCAAATTGGAAATGATTCTCAGTCCCAGATTCATGTCTTTTTAATATTTTTACAATGACTGACCTTATTGAGATGATATATGAAGAAAATGTGGCGTCAGGTTGCAACGTTCTTTCCCAAAACGTTCCCTTTCTTGCTGAACTTCCAGGAGTTTCGTCCACAACTTTCATGACTTTTGTTTACGATCGTGCAGGTTGACAGGCGCCCTCTCTAGTTCTAGTTGGACGAAGACATCTTACATTCTGAGGGCGCCCTTCTCAATTAACGGTGGGGGATTATAAAAGTAAACCGTTTGGCACATAAATTTGTCTCCGTGCTAGACTACTATTTTGTCAGGCGCACCCCTTTTTTCAGCAGAAACCTTTAGTTGACAAAAGTGTGAAGGTAATGTACGGGGTAATGCCCTTGTAAACTTTGAAACAAACGACCTTCAATTAAGTACCAACGGGCCGGTATTTATTGATAGTTTTATTTAGACAGGGTATGCCGCTAGCCTCATCAGTTAAAAACTGCTATTACTGAGGGCCCAGTATAAAATGATCAGAATAAAATGAAATAAAAGAAAAATATTATGTAAAATCACTAAGAACATTAAGTAAAAGTAAAAACTAGAATAAAGAAACAAATATGCAAATATGTAAAATATAGGGGTGCAAATACAAAAATAAGAATACATTTTACCACTAAGATACACATATAAATACTGACGAAATACAACACAGAAATTAAATTAACATATTATGAGGATTGTGTTGCATATTTTCCATGAAAATTGATTCGGATTGTATTTTTCGCATATTTATTTAACACTTTTCGGTCATCATTATTTGTGTTGTTAGATGGTTTCTCATGAACACACTATTTATTTTAATCATATTGAATTTATTATAGACAGCTACCCTCAAATTTTAATAGGTTTGTATCACAAGGGCATTAAATCTCAACAGAAAACACCAAACACTTTCTTTGGCTCAATATTTGGTCGTAATGTCATGAGGAAGTCCATTAAATTGCAATTAAAAGGCAACATCAAACACTTTATTTTAAAACAATTCTCAAGCAGTAGAGTGGTGCGAAAGGACATTTCCGCACATTTTAAATTTTGCCCACTAATATTTTATTTTATTTCAAAAGAGGGCGCGCTTTACAACCACCGTTAAGGATTTTACCCGTTTGTACATGCACCATCGACACAGGCATTATGGACGGAAACACTTACTCCTAAATTAACTGATGCATTGAATTCAATCAGTACAGCCAGGAGATGCATAACAAATAGAAAAAATACACAAAATAATTATGCCATAAACTGTTGTTCTCTCCGTAAATATTATAGAAATTTGTCAACACCGAGAAAAACGCACCCATCTGCAATCACAGTCTAGGCCAATAGAACAAATCCGAAGTCAACTTTATTGGAGCGAAAATAAAAAATCGTTGTGGGCACAATTACTCAATAAAATTATCTTGCGATAAACTGAAATTTGGGTTAATATGTGATGTCATAAGGAAGGTTATTACTTTCAATATCCAGGGGAAATCTCATACTATATTTCATGCACTTAAAGAGCATAGAGCAAGGAACAGACAGAGCGCGCGCGGCGTCCCCTCACTTTTGTCAACAATCGTTTTATGCAAAAGATGTTTAAATATATATATTAAATTAGGTAAAAAAGTGACTTTTCTCCAAACAAAACAGAATTTCCTTTGAAGGTACAAATGAGTATCAATTAATATTTCTCTTTTGCGTCATGTAATTTTTCAATTTCAAATAAAATGCTTTTTGCAAAGCTCTTTTCAAAGGTGAATTTGTGAAGAAACAATACCAAATAAAACTGCAGATTTTGAATATTATGTGGCACGTCCATGTTGCTGTACTACAACTTGTACAAGGCGTCCGGAAGCCTAATACCATTACTCCAACACTCATTTTCAATCGTCCACGCACCCTCCCACACTCCCGCGCTGCCCCTCCCCCACCGTGGCTCGCAAATCCAGATAATCTACTTATTACTGTAGCTAAACCTCTTAGTCAGATGGCCTAGCGGTCTAAGCCACCTGCGGGATTCGAACCCGTGCCCGGGCGCTCCAAAGGTCTTTGGAGCGCCCGGGCACGGGTTCGAATCCCGCCCAAGTTTTGACTTAAACACAATTTTAAGTATAAGAAAATATCTTCTTGATATTTTTTTAGGGGGGGGGGGGAGGTTCAAAACTCTTCATTGGCCAAGAGAACGAGTGAACATCACAACCAATTATTTACAATATTAAACAGTGATTAAAACCAATGTTATTGATGAGAGAGATTAAGAGATGGCTAGTAAGAGGTTTAACATTTGAGATATACTTTAAATTGCTCAAATTAATTGGGCCGTAATATTGTTGTCAAAATTTGAAAAATAATAAGAACAAAACGAGAAAGACATTATGGGGGGGCGCTGGTCAAATCCGACGATCATGTGGTCACGATAACTAAAAAATACATGTGTCATAGAAGTGAAATTCTACATAAAATTGAAACTGCGTCTATTGCTGGTCCTAAATGTCTTAAATAATTATTTGACATATCAAAAAGAGAAGCAAAACAATAAAGGTATGTGAAAACACATTTCAGTGTTTTTTTGTTTCCTTTGCAGAATGATCAAACCATTAAGAATGTTTTACTTAATGTCGTTTTATTTTATGTTAAATTAATGGGGTTTTTTCGAGTGCCGAAACGTTAATTCAACATACAAGCCGCCGCATCACTGGGGTTTCTCAAAGAAAAATATTTGTCTCGACTTTCATCTTTATTTATTTCTTTTTGATGGCCAGCCAATTGCATTGTCAGTAAAAAATATTCACAGCAAAACAAACTCACCTCCCGAAAAGCGACAACAAGAAAAAAACAAAGAAGCCCATATCCAATTTCTGATTTAGACATCGACAGCAAAAAAACCCAAAACAAATCAATATCTCATTTCCTAACCGTCAGTCTCATTTTGAATCGGTTGTTCCCATAGCTTTCTTTAGATTCTATGCCATGTTTGTATCTTCAGCAATGTGCGACCACAAGATGGCGCTCTTCATACAAATCATCTGAAGTCGACTGCCTGAATCAACAGAGAAAAGAAAACTTTGAATCTCTGCCAAACATTGTGAAAACAGATCATACAATTTGAATGAGACAACTCATTTGCAAAGTAAACGTGGAATAATTAGTCAGTAATAATTGTTGATTTTGAAAAAATATGACGACAAAATTCTTCCTATCGGTAGGCCTATCTCAATTACGTTGCTTTATTTTCGTTGGTAATAATTTCATCAGTTTCACCCTAAGTCTGTCATGATGATGACCTCAGTCGCCAAATATATCATGTGCAGCCTGGAACGGTCTCATTGTGTCTTACGCTGACAGAGGATCGTGATCTTGACCTTGATCTTCATCATGACATCAGTCGACGTCACTGCTACGTCATGTACGTCATTCAATAAGATATGGCTATTTATTTCACATGACAAAAAAACATGTTCATGTACATGCCTACATTAACAAGCAATAAACACATGCATACCTGATGTAATTACATTGTGATTGTGTTCTTTAACGTCATGACTACATACGTCACAATTTTTCTTTTTTTTTTTGCTTGTAGGCTTGTAGTCTACAAGTTCATGATCATTGATCTTGTGGGATTCTTATCTTAGATCGCATTCAGGATACTCAGATCTCTGACCCTTGACCTTAGATTTTAGATATCCCTGATCTAATCATGGCTCCTCATATACCTATTTCAGTCGTCGTCATAGTCTTAAGGAATATAATTATTATATTTCTCTTCCAAGATATAACTGCCTTAGCAAGGGTATTGTATCACATCTGTCTCCATGCAGTCCATCATAGCCTGAGACTAATTTCCATAATTTCTTGGAAAATATCCTTATTATTTTGTGATTTTGTGAAGTGCCTAATTATATGCCTCTAATTAATTACTCTTTGGATATTCTTTGACGAATAGTATTGTTTCAATCTCACTTTGCAACCTCCCCCTTTTCAACTTCCCATGGCTGGTAAAATGTTAGGTTTCTCTTGTCCAGTAGGCCTACATGTAAAATCCCCTTTTCGTTACTGATGAAGTATAATTATAAACAGTGACTTTAAAAGTAAGGATTACCTTTTCCCTCATAATGTCCACGTCTTTATGGTTGTTTACGAATACAGGCCTAGCGCTCCTCGCGATAAACTTATGAAATTCGGTCTCCTGTAATTGTAAGGTTTGCCTCGTGCGCGGAAATTAGTGGAGGTTGAATTCTTTACATTATATTAGAACACGGTAGGCCAAGCGATAGTCCGGTAAAGAAATTACCGAGTGTTTCATTTCCTATCGTTTGCACTTCAGCTCATTTCACCTCGAATGTTGCCGTGAATTACGGAGCAAAACGAACACGGCGACAGCTTCAAAGTCTTCTGGGTTACCTAGAATTAGTTTACATCGTCACTGTTCTCATGGGCATCAGTTTTGGAAATATTTTATCGCAGAAAAAAAGAAAGGAAATTTAAAACAAAAATACTCACAAGGTGTAAATGTCCGGCATCCATCTTGAAATGCAAGCAGCAGATGAGCGGGCGAAAGTCAGACGGTTGGGCTCAAGGCGTAATGCGGTTCAAAAACCCTATCACTTGTTTATCTCTCCGCACATCACAAAATATTTTTTTTCTACTTATGTTTTACTTGTGTCTCGGGTCATGACTTGTTTTTATTAATCACAACGATATAATGGATCATGCTGCTGAATAGGAAACTTTCAAACCATATTAAACCATTTTATCAGAAAATGGGGTTCTATTTTTCTTTATCCGCGGACTAACACACACTAGTCTCAATGTTTGCTGAAAAAAAGTGTAAGAGCGGTTCTGATTGGTCGAAAGTCAACAGGATATTCTGGGGTTGGCTGGGATTGGCCAAGATACACAATTTGCATACGGCATGGCGCGTGCCAGGTGTGGAATTTGGATGACAATAGCTATTTGCATAATTCTTCGAGAAAAGCCCGAGTCAGAGGTCAATGCTTTGTATTGTGCGTCATACCGGTCACACGACGACAGTTTCATGACTGCAGTGCTGAGATTGTATGGAACCGATCGTGCTGGTAAATTTTAATTAGGAAAGAATTAAGCCGACATCTCAACAGCCAACAGTAGAGTAACTGGGGTCCCATGAGGCCGGAGAGGGAGGGTTCTATGGGTCTCATTGGAGGCACACAAAAGGTTTGGTCATTGTTCTTTTAAAGATATTTGCAGATGTTTTCTTTACCCATACCCGTCCATATCAGAATATCATTGCCAAACATTTTGTGACTTTTATGCTTTTGTCAAGACCGTGAATTCATAGCTCTTTATAGAGATGCTTGCCACGGATTTACTTGCTTGGAAAAATTCGGTTTAATAATTATTTCATTATAAATTCGATGATTTTTAAAATATCTTTTGTAGAAAAAAAGGCACGGAAAACTAGATTGGGAAAATCAGATTTATCTTCACAACCTCCCCCCTCCCCCCGGCGAACGTATTTTCCGATTTGGTTTCCCACAGTATGTGGCCTGCGCCACCTGTTGTTCAGTATTTGATACATCCCTCGATGCACCATCGGTCGCGCATGCGGCACGTCGATCGTCGTGGTGTCATCAGATAACAATTGTTTTGACCATGGAGCTATTGTTGGCAGTGGTTTTACACACAGACTCATAAAATTGTGATTTGCATTTACAGGATAACTAGTTTAGTACTAGAAACCTTCGAAAGAATGTCAATTGCGTCCTGAATTCATGACGTGTATCCTCGAGATCGACGCAGCTAATAACGAGGCCACATGGCATGGCGAACCCAAATCAAATGCGGATGCGTATAATTTGATCGCGTCGTTTTAGGGGGTCTGACGATGTCATCAGATAAGGTCAGTTAAAGGTTGAAAAACATGAATCTGAATGAGAAACTGAACTCTCCATAGCCTGACTGTGTGTAGTTAATTTGCCAATTAATTGTAATTTATCTCGTGATGACAATTGAAACATCTGGAAAAAATGTTGCAACCTGGGGGTGAGGCTGAAGCCACTTCCAATTCCACGCTTGTGTACAAATGGAGACTAGGAACATTTTTTAAGTATTTCCTAACAAAATTGGAAATATTTCTCAGTCCCAGATTCATGTCTTTAACACTTATCATCCTTTTTGCAACAAATGACCTTCCTTGAGATGATATATAGAAAAAAAAGAAGCGTCAGGTTGCAACATTCTTTTAAAAAATTTGTGTGCACCATGTATGTGGGTACCATACCGCTATCAGGTACAGGCAATTAAATTTTCGTCTGGTGCATTGTCGTGGAAAGCAAGATGACTGTTTCATGCGTTAAGCATTCACGCAGAAGGCACTCAGAGTCTAACGCATGAAACAGTCAGTTAGAAAGCGCATCGCGTAACATTCCCCAATAATATGGAGCGCGTGACCAAGGCCTTTGTTGCTGTGTCTATAGCTGAGTTTATTTTATCCATGTCTAGACGTGACAACGGGTGAATGACCAAAGACCTGATATATAGAAAGCACCCACTGATTGGTAAAAATCTAGAGGTCAAGATGCGGTTGTCTTGCATAACTAATCAGCGAATCTGTTCAAAAATTATAGAGCATGGCTTAGATTGCCATGGTCTGTTATAGACTAGCACGTATATTGTGTATTTGGCGCAGTAGAAACACCCCTATATCTGAGTGGAACAACCCGCTATATCGCAGCGGCGCAAACATGCTTTGGCCTCTCTTTTTTAACTTTGTGCGCGGACGTCCTTTCCAGCCTTGTTTTCATTTGTGGGTTTTTTTTATGGGTAATCCAAATCATTTATTTCATTGAAAACTACTCAAATGCCGACTTCATGCTGTGTTGGAACGCGCAAAGAAATATTTAGACTCTGATTTATTAACCAACAGACTTTGAATGATGTTATTTGACCCCTGAAAATTGGGAATCAGCCAAAGCAGTCCTGTATGGCGGTCGTGTGGAAAGGATGCAACCGTGTGGGATGGCCGTCACTACAAGCAGTCACTTCTTGGTAAGCCCAACGTGATCATTTATTAAGTTGCCCCATTCATGGGGAGGGGAGGGGAGGGGTAGACTTTTTTTGGAGGGAGGGGAAATGGAGCAACTAGAAACTCTTAAGTCCTTTTGATACTAGAGCCTGTCAATCTGGGTTGAAATCAACCCTGGGCAAACCCAGTGCCGCCCTGGGGTGAGTTTTTTAATTTCAACCCCACGTTCAACTCCGCATTGTTTCACACTTGTTTTAGGCAAATCAAGCTTATCATGCTCAGTTACTACTGTTTTGAACCCTGGCCAGAATTTCAACCCGGGTTGAAAATCTCAACGCTGGTCTGGACCAGGGTTGAGTTCAACCCGGGGCGAAATCAATTTCGGGGTTGAAATTCTTTAAGTGTGAAACGATACATGTTTTCAACCCTGCGTCAACCCCAAGATTTGTCTAGTGGGAAAAGGGCTTCACTTTAATAGAGAGAAACCATAGTCGAAAGCCTACTTCTGGACCCTTTCCCGCAAGACTGATGAAAATCCACCTTGTTCACCAAGCTAGCTGGCATGTTTAGAGTAAAGAATAACTACATGTGTATGTGATTTGAACTTGTTACAAGTGTCCCCAAATAGGGTAAAGCCACAGAGTTTCGTGGGTGTCCTTAAAGCAATATGCCTTCAGAAACCACGAATGCCGATACAATTTGGACCAACCATGTTTGTCCTTGTTTACCATCCTATCAAGATGGTAAAAAGAGAAAACAGGTCACGATGAAGCCATTCTTGTAAGAGCAGTGGCCCCAAAATATTTGTTTTCCACAAATTTAGCATCAGAAATTACAGTTGTTTGAGCTGGAAGGCCCAAATACCAGCTGTGCAAGTCAGAGTTTCAGATGTCCTAAGGTTTAGTTCAACAAAGTAATATTTAAAAGATTAGTCATAAAATTTTGCTAATAAATGGCCTTATCCCAGGGACTAAAATGAATGAATGCATTTATTTCTGCTCATTTCAAAACCTCAGATTTTACAAGTAAATTTGAATAGAATTTATTAAAGAAGAGTTTGAAAAGTTTCATGAAAAGTTTCATGATTCATTGTTGAAACTCAAAACTGCAGTGACGGGGATAATTGTTTTCATTAATTTCAAGTTGAAATGGCAACCAAATAGGTACAACAATGCAAACAGAGGTCTGGAATTTAATTCTTGAAAATGCAAGGAAATTTCAAGGAGGCAGTCAGGCAAAAAAGCAAGGCAACGGAGGCCATAGCTTCCTGAAATTCAATACCATTGATTTGAACATTTGTTGAAATGGTTAGCAACCCCTCACACTTGAAGAATTTTTAACCTTCAAAGAAAAATAATAAAAATTCCCATCAAGATAATCCCTTGGGATAAATTTAAAAATAAAAGTGCTCAATAGTTTAAGTAGGGTGCATAACAAGCATTCTGTTCAAGTCTTAGCTGAGTGGCTACTATACATTTTGGAGAAAACAGAAAAAACACAATTCACAAGTCTTTGGATCTCGTAACTGGATTCTGTAGGCACCCCATTTTGAAACCACCTTCAATGTTTGTTTTCTGACAATACCATTTCAGGTGGAAATATTTCACAGGGTATTTGTTACCAGTCCTATCTTCACTTTGAGGTTTCTGTCATTAAATCGGTAGGTGCTTATCTGGGTAATTGCAAATGATCCTACATGACTTTAAAAAGTGAAGTTAACGGAAATACAGAATAATTGATATTGTACAGGCTGTAATTTCTATAATCAGAATATGTAATGTAGAGATAGCACAGAATACAATGAGTAGATGTATGTTCTATTAGGAACAAATTGAAGAATATACATAAAGGGAGTTTACAAAGTCTTGTTGTGACTACTAAGATCTACATACAGTGGTGAATTGTTAAACACTTAAAAGTCTACTTGAACATTTCATTTTTACAATAAATTGATACTTCGCAAACAAATTAATAATTTTTGCTGAAACCCAAACCGAAATGATGATTTTTGTTCATTTCAAGTTTTCTGAAAATGGCATACAAAAATGCAAAGCAATGAAACAGAGGTGTGCAATTAAATTCTTGAAAAGACGAGGAAATATGTTTGGTTTGTAAGGAAAAACCTTGGATTAGAAATTTGCTATTTGTGTGGGGCCTTTTCAAGGTGGCAGTCAGGCTAAAATCAAGGCAACTGAGGCCGTATAGCTTTCTGAAATTCAGCTTCAGTCGAATTGATTTCTAATCATTCAAACTGAAGGGATATTTGACAGTCTGAGGAATAAATGTAAACAAAATTTCAAATCAAGATAAAAACATTCTTGTAAACATGAGTCTTCATTCTGTAAATTAAGACAGGAAACCAAATTAATTGTCACTCATCTTTAGCAAACATTTCAATTAGTAAATTATCTTCAATATACATGTAAATGCATCGTAAATTCAAATGCGTAAACAGAAACTGCAAAAAGTAATGTCAAAACTGAGTAAATAAAGGCTTACATTGGACAGTAATCTAAGTACTAACTATCATGGTGATGCGTATGCTTAAAATGAATTCAAACAATACTTTTTCACAAAATACTTGTAGTATGGTTACATCTCAAGGATGAAGTGGTTGTAAAACTGTCTCAAAATTACTATCATCAAAAGTACAATATATAATGGACAACATATACATGTAGATTTCATTAGGAACACGTTTCAGAATCTCAGGGAGTTTACGAAATCTTGGTTTTATCTACAGCTATGGCTTCTACTTTTAAAAGCCTCTGATGAGGTCAAGATATAAACCTCATGAACAATGTCAGCACAATTCTCCATTCTGTGAATGAAGATCTGAAACCACATTAATATAATTAGTTTTGTCACTCATCTTTAGGATGCATTTGGACAAGTCAATTTACTTGGAAGAGTAGTGTTTTATTAATTAAATACATTGTAGGCAGATGCCAACAGCCAAAAAAACTGAGTAATAAAAAATTAACTGAGTGAATAAAGGCTGATCTTGAACACTTCACTAATATGCACGTATTTGAACTGAGTAATGCATTATCTTGAACACTAATCCTAACACAAAATTGAACTGAGTAATGCATTTGTAAAGTTGTAATTACTCCAAATAAATTTTAAGAATGTTGCCTCTCAAGAACAAAATGATCCTCAACATTTCTCAAGTCTTTGTTATAAAAGATAGCAGAATATATACAGCAAGTTCCACCAGGAACAATTTAACAGTCTTAATTGTGTTTATGAAATCTTGGCTTCGTCCCTGGCTTTGGCCTCAGGCTGCATGATTTTTGTCCCCTGATGTAACTCCAGTGCAATATTGGTCCATTTTCTTCTTCAGAGACACCAAATCCTGTCACACAAGGCCAATGGATGGTTGGTGCATTTTCACTGAGTTTGAATGTGGTAGGATTCTTAGGAATCTAGTGCCAGAGATGAAGCGGAAGCCACAACGAAGCCGGGGTTTCATAAACATCACAAAGAGTTGGTAAGTATTGGATAGATTGATGGCAATCCATGTACTGGGTGAGGGAGGGGTGTTGGGTTGAGGAGGCAGGGGTCATTACATTCAAACACCTCAACACCCACTAAACTCCCCTCTCCTTTCAAATTTACCATTTAATTTCAGATTCCAGTCATTGTACATGTAAGATTAAAACAAATTATCCCAATCATATCAAATATAACTAGTCAATACACTGTTTATATAAGACTTTGTATAGTAACATAATGCAATTGATGCACTGTTTATTTAAGAATTTGTATGGTAAAATGGTTCACATCAGAGGGATCTGGCAGTTTGGATTTTTTAGGAGAGATGTGGAATGAGTGGGACATGAATGTTGATTGGTGCTGTAATGACTGGACAATTTCATCCTCAACATTTGCTGTTGGGATGATGATGATGGCTAGTCAATGTCATGTTGGATGACATCACACCTTGTGATACATTTTGATTGAGAAGTTGTCAGCCACTGCCAGCTCCCCATTGGATGTGAATGTGATTCCACATGGGGCACGCAGACCCTGAGCCAGGCAATCAAGAAACTTGCCATCTAGGTCATAGTGGTGAATATGACCATTAGTGCCAAGCCCACCTTGGTCCACTGCAAGGAAGATGCCTGAGCTGTCACAGCATACACCCATGCAGTACCCCACTGGCTCACCATTAATGGTAGGCCGGATGGTGACATTTGTTCTACCTTTGCTATCAGCAATGTCCACTTTCTTTGTGTCACCTCCACTGACCACAACTCTATCAGTTTTGTCATCAACAGCCAGGTAGTAAGGTGGAGTCTGCACTGGTATGGTGCGTAGGATCTCACCATCAGTGGGTTTGTGTTCAGTCCACACCATTTTGTAGGTGTTGCCTACTAAGATGCTATCCTTTGTTACTGCTAGCCTCGATAGGTTCATTTTTGTCTTGTTTACCTGATGTTTGGGCACCGTTGGGAACTGTGTAACAAGAGTGTTGTCCTTCATGTTGAACACCTTGACATACTTGCTTCCAACTTCCAACACAAACAAGCGTTGCTCAGGATTGTGGATGGCTGCAACTGACACTGGATCTGTGGGTAAAGAAGAACTCAAATTTAACATATGCACAGTATATAAATGCACTGTCACTATTCTCAGTCCTCATGAAAAATAAATACCTTTGATAACCTAGCTACCTATATTAATGAAAACATGGCCTGCCTTAAAGCCTGGTCATGTAGAATTAATATGCCTGTACATGAACATTGTGCAGTCTTCAACCACCATGCATGTATAATTGTGAATAACTGCAATGTCTTGGAGATACAGTTTTGCAAAGTCTTTAAGTTGATGCACTCTCTGTGCTATTCTCATTGTTCAAACATCAAAATATATTAGTCTTATATTTACCCGTATCGCTAATTTCTTTATAGCAATAATAAGGTTGTTCAATTTTCAAATGAAGCATTAATTGAGCAACATAAACCCCATTTTTAGTCATCAAATAATTGTATAATAACAAACTGTACAATAACAATTTAGTTCTTGCAAACTTTACGACACCTTTCACAAAATGTTCCAAGATTGGTGCTTACAACTGAAGAAAAAAAAGAAACTTGAAGCATATTGGGTTTTTTTTGTAATTTAAGGCCAAAGGTCATTTCGTAGCGCATTTTCTCTGTGCTTCATGGTATGATTTTGGTTTTATTTTATGAAATGGAGGCCATTCAAAGAGCTTTAATATGATGTACAATTTGGCTTTGTATTTGCTATAGTTTTGGAGATACAAGTATTGAAAGTTCGGAGGTCATGCTAATTAGTCAAAAGGTTGTTGACCCGTATCTCAGAATCTAACAAGCCAAACTACAAAAAAATTCAGTTCTGGGGGTTTCTCATACAGGCCAATCATCACACCAAATCGTTTCAATCTGTGAGGGTCGGGTCCAAAATTGTGTTGAATTGACACGGAATGACACATTTTTGAGAGTTAAAATTTTTACCCCAAAAATTTGTTCTTGCAAGAATAACACACAAACGACCAATTTATCAAGGATGGTTGTGTAGACGTTTTTATATTGCCATACATCTCCTTGTCATTTGATTGGTGGAACTCACATCACATGACATGCGTTATTGCTCCCATTCACGCCAAGGCTCAAAAAGTCCCATTCGCCCATGGGGATGGGAAATACATTGTACTATTCAACAGTTAGGATCATTCTTGTTCCATGACGCGGTATTTGTATGCAAATGCATGCTGGTGTGCGCGTTCATCGTAGCATATCGCGTATTGTTCCAAAGAGCCAGCGCTGCAGAGTTAGGTTCAAACATTTTCGTGAAGGGGTGGTTTGGAAGAGAAATACATTTTCCACCAATTTCATGTTGAAATAAAGGTTCAAATGTATCAAATATGTCAGGATCTATATGTCAGGAATATAAAAAAAAATTTTGTGTGGCTTAAAATTGTGAAATCGGAGGAATATTATCACTTGGTAAAATCTGGACTTTTCCATTTCTCGAGGCGAATTAAAGTCCAGATTTTATCTTGCGATAATATTCCTTCTATTTCACCCCGAGCCACTCATCAATATATTTTTATAGGTTTTCTCTGTCAATTTCGGCAAATGAGCAGCCAATTTAATTTTCGTGCGTTCGAATTGAAGCGATTTTGCCTCTCCAGTTGTTACTGCGTTTCAAATTCAGAATTCGGCCATTCAATTTCGTTTTGAGGCATTCAAATTCCTTTAGCACTGTGTTCAATTTAGCATATCGTCATTCTTTTTCGTGACACACAATCATCATTCAATTTAGCAAAGCTGGTTCGACTGGAGATTTTACTGATTTAATTTTTTTCAATTTCGTAAAGAGGCAATCAATTTCGCTTAAAGAGAATTTAAATAAGTACGACTAAAGAAATACGAATAAACAGATAAACTGTACTAGGCAACTGTTTCGTATCTTCACTTTAATTCAGGCAAACCTTGTTTTATTTATTTATGCTTCCAGTAGGCTTTACATGGGGCCAATGAGGTTTTTTCTTCTTCTTTGTTTTCTTCTTCTTCTTTATTTTTTTGGGGGGGGATCTTTATTGGTTAATGACCAAGACCTAATTTTGTATTGTGTTTGAATGGGGTGTTTCTTTATGTTTTTCCTGGTTTTGTATTTTTTATGTTGTTTCTTCCTCAACCATCAATCTGTTGGCGTGCCAGACATCTTGGCATATATGTCTGGGTATGGTTGTACCACTGCATGCACTTCACCTGGGTGATGACATCAACGCTCTGGATGGCTGCTTGTTGAAGGAGATCGCACCTCCACTGCTGCATGTTCATTCCTGCTTGCTGGGCAGCCTGTCTGTCTCCGACACGTTGTTGCCACTCAGGTAACCCAAGGATGCGTTTAACTGCAGCCTTGAATGCAGAGTGTGTCATCTCCGTGCTGTTCAGGAATAGGGAGTAGGGAGGGAGGCGCTTCAGCTGGATCATTGGGTTGGCACCTTCAGGGAGTTGGGCTCGCACGTGAGGCCTCGCATTGTCGTATATGAGGTAAATGGGTTCGTCGTCTGGGAAAACTGCATCACACTCTTGAATTGTGTCCGCAAGAAACTCCTCGAATCTCTCTCGCGTCACAGTTTCGAATGCGATTCGGTGGTGCACCAAGCCTACTTCACTGGAAAAAGCGAAGGTGACATTGCAATTTCTCCCTCGTCTGTCGACGACTCGTCCTGCAGCGATCCCTCGTGGAGCTCTACCCTGGGAGCGTCGAGTCCAGACGTTATAACCTGTCTCGTCAATGAAGACTAGATGCGCCAGAACACCATGCTGCAGGAACCACTCACCATACTGGACGCGTTGATCAAGAACTTCAGGGGAATTTCTTGCATCAGGGACGTCCTCCACTAGTTTCAGTGTAATCATCATCCCATCCAAGGCCCTGGCTATGGTGGCAGTAGAAACCTGGGGCTTCTCTGGCAGATGCTCACTCAAACTAGCCTTCATTTGTTGAAGTGTCAAGACGGGATTAGCGTCAAGGATGCCTTGCAGATGGTTTCGCATGTCATCATCCATCTTGCTGTGGGTTGCTCCTCCTCTTGCCAGCGTTTCTCGCCTTCCAGTCCTCAAATATGTTGCAACAATTGATCTGGCTGTGGACTTGTTGATGTTCAAAATGACCGCAAGCTCAAGGTAGTCTTGCTCGTTTCCCTCGAAGGCCTCAATCAACCTTTCTCGATCTACCTGGGCCACTCTAGCGTAGCGACCCCAAGCTGCCATTTCTAGAAATATGCGTGCAAAGTGACTCAAGTGCCAAAAAGTGAACCGTATTTATGCCTTCAAAATTCTAATAAGGAAACAAAAATTTAACAAAGCGTTTTTTAGATTGCACAAATTCCAGAAATGACTGCCCAAAAATGAATTTGAATGACTAAACAAACGCCTCAAAAAGCTCCTGTGAATTTGAATGCTGCTTTGTTGAATTGTAAAATTGCATGATTATTTTGTTAAATCGAATGACGCAACAGTACATTTGACTGGTCATAAAACGAAATCGAATGATCCTTTTCAGTAGCATTTGATTTCGCGCGAAATAGAATAGCGTAGTGGTTAAATTGGCTGCTCATTTGCCGAAATTGACCGAGAAAACCTATATAATATCCTACTTTCAAATGCTCTTTGTAGCCCTATTGGGTGCTTTCCAGGATGTAGTGTCCATTTAAATCACTTTTAATTTGATATGATGGTGTCATTGTATGATGTCATGTCTTTGTACAACAGTGCATATTTGTACACAGTTTTTTCTTCATACCTTGACCCGTTAGGGAGTAATTCCATATTTTTGTGTTCATGTTGCTTTTAGTATAACTTTGACTGTCAACCCCAGAAGGTCAAGCAACTTCACGCGTATACACAGGACCAAAAAAAATGGTTCATCAACGTATGATTCATCAGATCACAAAATGTGAACAACATTTTTTGCTTTGTTCAGGAGTTATAAACGAGACAAAATGGTCACTTTTTGAACTAAAATCTCTTGCAATTTGACATCTGTTGATGTCATTTTGACTTCAGATTTGAATGCACATCTCAGTGTTAGGATGGATATGTTGAATACCAACTTTAAAATTCACACGTTGTTGTGTTTGAAATAAAAGCCATGCAGCATTATTGTCAGAAGAACAAAGACCAAACCAAAGGGTGATCTGGATGGGGGCTCATCAGCCCCATCACCCATGGCCTAGAACATTCTACTCACAGGGCAGATATGTTTGCAAAGCAACCTTTAAGTAAACATTTCCTTCTCAAGGTTACAGACCCCCCCCCCCCAAGTTTTTCTTCCATTCAAACACAAATCAGTAATAAAATAGATAATAGTTTTGCTGTAGTTTTGTTTATTTTGTGAGTGTGTGTCTGTGTGTGTGGGTTTTTGTGCCATTTTTTTTTACATAGGCCTTCATGTAAAAAAAAACTGAATATTTGTTGACCAGTATTTTATTGTTTTTCATTCTCAGTTGTCAGATCTGCATGTGCACATGGAAGACTTACTTATAATTTCCACACAATTATGAAGGTTTGTGTTGATGAACATGTGCATGAAAGAAACTTACTTTGTACGGGAATGGTTCCCTTGTGTTGTCCCTCATTGCTGCAGATGACCACTCGGTTGTTGTAATAGTCTGCCACAGCAATCTCACCAGGTTGAGTAGCAGTAACATCCCGAGCCCCATGGAACTTTCCTGGACCACTTCCCTCTTTACCAAACTCACGACACATCTCCCACTTGACTGCTTCCACCTCAAGCTTGCCCAGATTGATGTCACCAATCCTCTGACCCAGGGTGAAGCTCAGATATGAAAGCTTGGGATCAATCTGGGGAGGATTTTGACTCTTGAGTGATTTCAAGTCTTTACTGATGATAGGGTATAGTGACAAAAAGTCACTGTCAGATGCAGTGGTTATGATATCCTGGGATGTCCCTAGAGAATGTTTTTTACTTTCTAGCATCATTGTCAGTGTTGACTGATGCTCATCGTATGTTTTGTTCCGCTTCTGCTGGAGTTGTTTGATTTCTTCAATCATCTTTGTCTCTTGAGTTGTTATCTCAGCTCTCATTTTATCCGCTTTGTCTTTCACAGCTTTCACAGTCTTTGTGACGTTCTGCGTAAACTTCTGCTTAGCTTGTGATGAAGTGGCCAAAGCCTTTTGAAGTATTTTTATGCCTGTGGTGACATTTGGAAACATCTCTTTCAGTGACTGTTTGTATTTGCGAGAAGCCTCTCCTGAGTCAATGTAGTGATGTTCTGGTTTACAGTGGTCGATAACAGTACAAGCTCGGCAGATTAACTCTTCACATGTCTCACAATAAAACCATTTCACTTCACCATTGTGTTTCTGGCATTTGGACTGATCTGATGATGTTTGTTCCACTGAACGAGCCACCTTTTCTTGGAGTGAGACCTCCTCAACTATTCCCATCAAATGGAAATTTGTTTTCAGGCCTTGAATGCGTCTCTTTGGAAGTACCGTCTCCCGTCGACATAAAGGGCAAGGAATCTTAGGTTGCCCTCCATGCCTGCTAGTGTAGTATTGCTCCAGACAATCTTTACAAAAGCTGTGCTGGCAATCTAATATCTTAGGCTGTTTATATCTGTCAGCACAAATGTCACACTCGAGGGAGCTGATCGTCTTTAGAGCTGTAGCCATTTTATCTGTATACAAAAAGTATGTAAAAAGAAATTGGAATGGTTATAATACGGAGATGTAACTTCTTTTATTATACATTAATACTGCACTGCCTGTGTGAGTTTAACCCAGGCTAAAAAATATTTTCAATTGCTTTTTTGTTGTTACATGTATCCACTTTTGAACAAGGTATCAAATATTTTGTTTATATTTCCGTCAAATTTTAAGAGCTCTGATAGTTTGAAGAGCTGTGATAGTTTGTGCCCACTCTTGTTATTACTAAATATACATGTAGGTTTTGTTGGAACACTACTACTGTATGTACTCTTCACATTTTTGTTGTTAAAGGCAAACTGTGATTCCTAAACTTGTACCGGTAAGCTAGCATTTAACCTCATTAAAAATAACTGACACTCTTTTCTTACCTTTTTTTAATTTCAACCAAATCACTTGAATACAAATCTTTCCAATTTGATGCAGAGAGCACAAACAGTTGAGGCTTTTGATGGGGCGGATCTGGTAAAGATGGCGCTGGACAAACCCAGCATCGTCATCAAGTCGCGTGACATGGTGTATATATAGAGCTTGGGATTTTTGTTTTGCTGCGTACATGTACATGTACGTCACACACACACATACAATCTGTATACTGGTTATCTGTGCACATATTTACTTGACACTTGAGTTTTGGACCATAGATAGGTTCATGCATTCTATTTACGTGAAATTTCAATCGCATATATACACCTCACCATACATTTAATTCCACTTTTCTTCAACCATCAAATAAAATAAGCTGTAAAAATATTTTCCTCAAATGTTTCATATTTCACACACAAAAAGTTTCTATCATCTTGTGCTATAAATACTGATAAAGAATTTTCAGTCAATTGGAAGTTATCATTTTGACTAACCCAAAATTAAAGTTTCAACTTTTGTATTAAAATTGTCAATGCAAATAAAACACAAAAACATGCTACTGGGGAAGTACATGTGGGTGTAATGGTGTACACTGAGGACAATGAACAACAGAATTGACTGTACATAAGAGGACGCTATGTCCTCGGTTGGAAACCATCACAAATCAAATGAGAGGAGTTGCCAAAAGTTACCCAAACAAAAACCATCAGAAGGACAGTGGAAAGTCCTCAATCTACACAAACCTTTGTGGGAGTGTGAAAAGTGCAGAGTTTCAGAGGAGGGGAACCAACATAATGTTGAAACAGTGTAGCAAAACTACAATCTTTATGAGTGCATTTTTTAGAATGCTGTAACCATGGTAACATAAAACTGTCATCCTGTCTGGCTTGTTTCCAGGGTGTGAAGGGCATCACCTCAAACTCCCTTGACAACAAGATGAGACAACTCAAGGAACATGGCCTGGTTCTTGGCAGGATTCATCCTGGGTTCTATGACATCAGGAAGAGATTGAAGGAAGATCTTGAGAGAATGTTGGCTGAGAGACGATGAGGAGTCAAGAAGATGACGGCCGGTAAACGTCTCAAGTCAAGTAAGAATGAAAGTTGTCTGGAAATAATCACTGCATCAGCTAGATTTGATGACTAGTGATCCTACATGTACTTAATGTCTTGGAAGCTTCATGTTAGGGCTGTCTGGTTTGAATCTGGTGAATCTTTGCTTCAGATCCTACTGCATGTTTTCGTTTCTATTGACCCCTGGTTCGATTCCTGTTTATTCCCAGGTGTGACCTCAGTTATCCTTGAAGTATTTGAGGAGTCTTTGGTTCAGATCCTACTGCTTGTTTTCTTTTCTATTGACCCCTGGTTCGATTCCTGTTTATTCCCAGGTGTGACCTCAGTTATCTTTGAAGGAATTGAGGAGTCTTTGGTTCAGATCTTACTGCTTTTTTTCTTTTCTTTTGACCCCTGGTTCGATTCCTGTTTATTCCCAGGTGTGACCTCAGTTATCCTTGAAGGAATTGAGGAGTCTTTGGTTCAGATCCTACTGCTTGTTTTCTTTTCTATTGACCCCTGGTTCGATTACTGTTTATTCCCGGGTGTGACCTCAGTTATCCTTGAAGGAGTTGAGGAGTCTTTGGTTCAGATCCTCCTGCTTGTTTTCTTTTCTATTGACCCCTGGTTCGATTCCTGTTTATTCCCAGGTGTGACCTCAGTTATCCTTGAAGGAATTGAGGAGTCTTTGGTTCAGATCCTACTGCTTGTTTTCTTTTCTATTGACCCCTGGTTCGATTCCTGTTTATTCCCAGGTGTGACCCCAGTTATCCGTGAAGGAATTGAGGAGTCAAATCACTGAAAAACAATTTTGAGAAATTGCTACAAGTTTTTCATTTTGATGCAACGAGTGTGAATAGTCGTAACTTTTAGAGGGGGCGGATCCCAGATCTGAGTCATGTACAGTTCATTATCTTGTTTGTTTGCTGACATGTTTACTCTACACTTGAGTTTGTATCTTGGACCTGAGTTAGGTTAATTTTGTACTTGCATACGTGTACATGTACACGTACACCATCAGGTTGCAGACTACTTAAATAAACTGCCATAGACCCCAGTGATAGATATCCCCACTTCCAAAATTCAGGGGAAAATACTCACAACTCTCCAAGGTGTTTAAGACACATCAAATCCAAACTGATTTCATCATCTTTCATTTTGTGTTCAATTTTGTTTTGTTAATTCGATTTGAAAACTGATGCCTATGCTGCATTGCCAAATAGAGCAATTTTAGGGCTTAATTCATCCAAATTACACAGAAATACGAGCTGGCAGTCCTGTTCACGGCTTCCACCTTTCTTTGTTTCTTTGTTTCAAACCTTCAAAATCATGGGCAACAAAATGCTCTAATATAAAAAAAAATGAGGGCGTGGATATTGGATTTGGCCGGCGTAGGCAATTTTGGGCCTATTTACTGTCCTGCAACCATCAGTGTCCATACATATGTGCATTGTACATGTCATTCCAAACTTGTTTCATCAAATGGGGTGTTAATACATGTACCTGTGCATACTTGTTCCTTCCATTCTGTGACATAATGTACTCATTTTAATGTCACAACATTAACTATATCACTACACAGCCTCACCCTTACATGTATGTACATTGCACTTCTTAAAATTCATCTATCTTTTAAGCCCTAATATGGCACATGTTTTCACAACTAGAAAAGTTGCATGTTGAACTCCATTTTCGACCCCCCCCCCCCCCAAAAAAAAACCCAAGTTGCCAGCTGGGCACTCAGAATACATTTGTACTTTGCTGTTGGCTGTGATAAGATCTTTATATATTTGTCTTTTCATATTTGGTGAGAAAATCTTGGGCAACTGCATACTCTTTCTGCAGCATTAATCCAGAAATGATTAAAAAAAAACCTATTTTGAGTTTTTGCCTTATTTCCTAATTAAAATTGAGTATAAAAAGAAAATCATCCTGAATCTAGCAAACATTTACAAACCCAAATATTTTTTCAATTACTTTCAGACGAGTGCCACCAAATTCAGATTTCCTTTGCTCTTTTATTAAGAGTTCATTTTTTTTTACCGTGGACACTTATATAAAGTACTTACATGAAATGACTCTTACTTTTTTAAAATAATTGTCTCTTTCAGGTGATGGTACATGACACAATAAACAATGAAGATGACACCCAGGTCAGTCAATCCATTTATAATCTTTTTAATAAAACCTTGCATTTAATGTTGAGTAAGAAAATGAAAATGGAATTGAAGTAACTTTGATATCTTGTTGTGATTATGTTCTGACCAAATTATGAAACACAGTCTATCATTCATGGCAAACATTACATTCATTTTTCTCATTAATTTTGAGTTTTTTTATCATTTTAATTTCATTTTGAGCAGCTCACTCATCACGTGGAGCCTTGCTTCGTTGACCAACCGCCTCGCCTAGTCTGGTCACCATGGCAACTGAACAGCCTCAAGCCCCGCCTCCAGCAGCCATTGGTCAAGATCGTCACTTACCAATTCCAATCAGCAATGAGCGTAGTCGATAGCAACGCAAGACACCTGTCAGCTTTGTTGTTGTACCTGTCAGTGATCTGGGTTACCCTGTTGGTTCACCAGGGAGTAGCATCTGGGCTTATACACCAGGTAAGCTCAGTTTTCATTTACCACACACTTTCATTAGATGCATGAAAACTGACTATATCTGGAGCATCAAGAAAATAGGAGTGTGAAATAGTCTCATATTTTCTTGGCTCGGTACTTTAAGATCCTAATTGAAGAACTTAGCTAAAAGATCCTTGTTGATTAAAAAATGCTATAAAAACCAACTCAGAAGGATACAACAACATTCAAGTTCAATCCATGAAAATATAATTTAAAAATAGACTACTGTGATTTCTAAACCCAATGGACATACAGGACATGCTGATTAGCAAAATATTAGTTGTCATCCATTCAAGAGAATATTTTCCTATAATGGCAGATTTTAATAAAGTTCTTGTTTTTTTCTGAATTTTCCCCCAGGGAACAGCGGTGACTGGATCCCAAGTAGCAACTTAGAGGACATACCAGGCACAGCAGCTAACAGGATGCCTAACTTCCCCCATCAAGACACTGTCAAGAGAGGATGGCTTCCAAATGAACAAGTAAGCATCTCACCCCTCCACCACCCCCACTACACTCAATCAGCATGAGTTCAGGACTTGGAAACAGTTTACAACAACACAAGGCAATTCAAGTTGGTTCCAGAGTACACACGGTCCTATTCAATTGATGTAGCCCATTCATTGGTGTTACAGGGTAATCCTATACAACAGCACTGCCCAGCTCACAAGTGACAGTGAGTCGATCCGTGAGGTACAAAGAGGACTGTAGGCGGGCCCTCTGGGACCAGCACAAACTGAACAGCGATCATTGAGAAAATCAAATAGAGAAATCAAAACCTCATCAAGATGGACCTTGTGTATCTCAAGACATTACTGAAATGTCATCATGCTTGCGAGCTCTAACTTTATTGCCCTGGTTATTTCCTACAGACACCTGTCAGCCGGTTTGGTGAGCAACATGAGCCAATGTCTGGCATGCATCATAACATGGCCATGGGAGATGGGGGAGGGGTGACAGCTCATGGAATGGCAGGAGCGGTCTGGAACCCTGTAGCCACCATGCAGCTTCATGGCACCAATCCAAAGGTGGGTCCTGTCTCAAAGCTTAAGTCCGTGTCAATATTATCAGGCTATATATGTGAGGCATTCTGGCAAAATAAGACGCAACTGGGCACAGGCCGTAGTGGAGGGAAAATGCAACAAAATGATAGGGGGTGATTTTTGTTTTTCGACTTTCAGATATATTGATATTCTTATAAGTAAGTGAAAACATGTAGTCTAAAAATCATGGAATACAAGAGTTTTTAAGGAAAGATAATTGGCATCTTTCATTTTCACGAATACAAAAATCGAAACTTTACAGGCCTTTTCTTAGTATTTTGCTTTTTTGACATGTCAATAAATGCAAACTTTAAAGTGAGCCATAACTTGTCAACGGAATGTCCGATTGAAGTGCAACAAACAGTATTGTAAGGAGAAGTTTATTCTCTTTCCTAATCCCTGCAAACCCTCATTTCAACCTCTGCCCAGTTCTGTCTCATTTTGCCAGAACGCCTCACATATATGGTCGTCAGTAACACGTGTCTATCAGCCGCTTTCATATCGGCGCATTATTGCTAGCTGCAGCAATTGGGAGACAGTCTGAAAATCTGTCATTATTTCTAAACATAAATTCCTTGAATATTTACTGCAAAATCCTTCTTCAGGCCAAGTTCAATGCATTCCTGATGTAGTGAATGCCCAATCTTTGAAGTTGTTAAACGTTAAAGGTCTAAAGTGGCTGCTCAGAAAACTCCAATATTTTCAGAGAAACAGAAGTGTTAAGGCACGTTGATTCAGAAACAAAAGAATTAAATATTCCCATAAATACCACTTCTTCTGTTTTTTGCAGGGAGGGGTCTTAAAAAAGTTTGTTGACATAAACTACATGTTCTAAAATAAAATTTGCTCAACAGCATTGCGTGTAGTTGGGATGAACTACCCTCAGTCACCCAACAAACAATCCTCATTTTTTTACTTTTAATGTTTTTTAATATAAATTAGATAATTTATTAAATTTGCAATTTTGTCTTTTATTTTCCCAGGTGTGGGGAGCATCACAGAGCCAGTCAGTCATGTGACATGACACCTCTCCGTCCATTCCTATAGAGGGCGCTGTTCGTCACAGCCCCAGCATCCACAAGAGATAGTTAAGTTAATTAATTTTTCTTCAATGGCCAGTAGCCATAGAGGGCGCCATAATGCTATCTGGTTTGTTCACAGACATATAAACACATAGACCGCCAGTCGTGCGTGTGAAACCGTGATTTAATAATTGGGCAAAATGTTTGTTGACAGCGCGCATAACTGCCACTCAATGCGCCAACCCGTTTAGTACAGTACATACATTGAAGTACAGTTCATAAATTATTTTGGTAAAGGCTGTATTACTCAAAAGTTGTATGAAAATGTTGGGTACTGTATTGTTTTTAATCTACATAAATTATAATTAGTTCACAAGGGATTGGTTTACAATCAAAAACTAACTTCACAATTTTGTTTGTTACATATGTTTGACTGGAATTCGTCAACTGTGTGTAAAATCCTATACCGAGAGGTGAATTTGCCCATGGTTTTGATTTTAGTTCGGCGCTAGGCAAATCAGGAAATGCTCATGTAGTTTGAATAGGACCTGGCGGTCTATGCATTTATATGTCTGTGGGTTTGTTGGCTTACCTACCAAAAAAATTGCTGACGGTTTAATTCAGAGAACAGAATGAAAACAAAATAATTAGGCCTGGGAATAAAAAAAATTGTGTCAATTCTGTGAAATTGAAGATGATTGTAAACTGCGAGTAGTTTGTATTTAACTTTATTTATGTTAGGCCAAAAAAAAAAAAAATAGTCGGTCTCTGGTCAGCGCGCGCGTCGATTTTAATCATGCGCGTCAATCTCTTTTTTTTCCAAATCTTTCATGGTAGCTCCAACAGCGCCCTCTATTGCCGCACCTCCTCAATTTTTTTTTTACCAAAGAGCAAAAAGTTGCCTTGCATCAAGGCAAATGATCGAGGGCAAATTATGGAGGACACCAGTGTACATGAGGACACCAAAAAAAAGAAAAATAGTACCCCACCTTGTCTGTACAATCAAAGCTTGAAAAAAAAAAAAAAATGCGTCACCACATCAATTCCGGAACTTTGGTCTGACCAGAGACCGAGTATATGTTTTGGGGGCCTTACTGTAAAACAATTGAAAAATCTTAATTGGCTTAATTATGTATGTTAAAAGATGATAGGCTACTAATGTTTGAAGTTAATTGAAACCAATCTTGGAAACTGTCAGTTGAAGAGATGTTTTGTTGACATGTACATTACAACATGAAAGGTCAATAAACCTGGGTGACCTTTGACCTCTGTTGTCTCGATAGTAGTTTATCAGTTGAAATGTCCATTCCATAGAGCTGTAGTAAATTATGAGAGCGTTTACTCCTCATTCCCTTGCACACTTCAAAGTTGTCTGAGCTCAACACAGTGCTTGAAGAATGTACATGTAGCGAGATCAATGTGCAAGTCACGTCGCCAATATGACATCAATTCTTTTGAGTTTTGTGCGCTTAATGTGTTGCCAAAATATAACAGATATATGGCTGAGCAGGCACGTGATCTACAGTGAAAAAAATTCCAAAGTGTGAAAGCACAGAATAAAATGAAAGTTGTACTAACAGCTTTGAAATGTAAAAACATACAACATTTTGAGCTATAATTTCCTTTGATTTATGCACAAACATGGATGCATGCGCCCAGCAAGTTTCATCCTATTCATATATGAATAAGCTCTCTAATAATTGACTATAGCTCTATGGCCTGATTAAGTGCACATGTGCAGATACAAATCTAGAATAACAGGGAGTGCGTAACAGTTTATTGCAATAGTTTTTCTTGCAACAATAAAACAAAACACAATGGAGTGTGTTCAGTGGAAAAAGTACAATCAGAATGCAAGTCAATTGAAATTTTGTTTGTTGGTTGGTTGTGATGACGAGGCCCGGATTCTCCAATAGATCTCTCTCATAGGAAGCCATCTTTGTAGGAAAATTACAACTGCGTGTTCAACGCCATGTGCGCGTAGTGTGCAAAATGTTCTAAACATGCGCTCCTGTTGCTTGGAATGTCTCCAAAATACGGCGCAGCCGATGCGCGTCATGAAAATTTGAAAATTTGACGTCTAAATAAACAGCCCAAATTTGAAGAGAAATTGTCAAATTTAATATTGTAGAGTGTGTTAATTCAGCAGGAAAACAAGCACAATGCGAATTAAATCAACCATTAAGGCAAAGTAAAAAAAAAATGTTTCTCATCCCTGCTTCCTACCTTTTTGGAGGCCGCCTGGATTTTTTAAATTATTTTTTTTGTTTTGAAAAATGCAGTAAAAAAAACACCGAAAAAGTCCACAAATTCATCGGAAAATAAATTGTAGACAATTCAAGTCTAAATGACTGTAAATATGTTCATTTCTCTTGTCCAACTTATCTTTCATTTTTAAAGTGTCTTTGAACAGTGGAAACACCAACGTTTGCAGGAAATTTTTAAATGGCGGCCATCTTGAAAAATAAAAAAGCCCTGCTTCCTCTTTTTTTCAAAAACCCGGACAAGAAACATGTTTTTTTTTTTACTTGACCTAATGAAACAGAACATACTCGTTGTCTGGAGGATATCATGAGAAATACTCATTGTATTAAAGTGAAATTTCCTCCGTTATAAACTGATCATGACGTTTTTGTGAAGCCTGAAAAATTTTAACAGGAATATCAAACAATACAGTTAATGTTACTAAAACAATTATAGTCTGTTTCTAGCGAGAAAATTGCAATGCAAAATAATGCAAAAATAAAAGTCCCCATAAAAACCCACACACTGGTTTTTGAGATGATGTCTTTAAAAATCCTATTTAATTTCTACAGCAAATTAATTCAATTAATATAACAAAAACAACGAAGTGTTTTCTGCGTGAAAATTTAAATTGGAATGAAAAATATTCTTAATACGCAACAAGAACAACACATTTGTGTGGATGACAATTCTGGAAATATATGCTGAGCTTGATTAAAAATGTGTCCATCGATTGTTCATAAAGTAAAGTCTTCAATTAAAAACTCCATAAAATTTCAAGAGGAATCGTGTAACAATTAAAAAACGCTTAAACGTTTAGAAAAGTACTAATGTAAAATATAATCAAAGCCGTAGAAACTTTGCATTATACTGTTGCACTGAGAAACAAATCTAAGATTTGCAAACATTTAGGCATACCTCTAAAAATTAAGTGTAAAAATTACTCCTGTTTAAAAATCCTGAAATTTTCACCGGCACCAGACTATCATGTGACCTCTAAACATCTTGACAAGAGAGTACGATAAGCCATACAAAATCATTGAAGCATGAAAACCCATTTTGACGGCACGCTACACGGTCAAGTGAGGAAGGCCCTTCAACCAGGTTGCATCGAGACCCTCAGGCTAAGAAGTCTACCTCCACCTCACACACCACTGGTAACCAGCATTCCAGCAGTCTTATGTGGTCTCTAGCAGGCTTCAACAAGTGTAGCAATCTCCAAAAAAGGAAAAGGCTAACTACCAATCTGACTGATGATTGGCTGAGATGACAGATCTGAACTTACAGGACTGGGCAGGGCTTCAAAAAAGAAGTCTGAATTTTCGGTCCAAAATGTAGTCCAACTAATATGAGAAAATTATATTCCCAAAAATAAGTCCAGCCAAATAAATTCTAAGTCCAAATATCCCCAAGACCCTCCCTAGTCCTATCAACTTGCAGACCTATCAGTCAGGAAGCCTTTCAACTAATAGTCCAGTTCCCTCTCAACCATCAACCAGTCAGCCCAAAGTCCCAAAGCCTACCCTCCAGCTCCAGACCCCTTCAGCTCCCAACTTCTCAACTTCCCAGCCTCAGACCCTCAGATCTGAAAAAATTTCAAGGGGTACCCCTTGATTTCTGAAATTCTGGCCAAAGCTGAAAAATTGGCTAAGTCCAACAACCTAAGGGTTTTAATTACGATAACCGGAGATTTTTTCAAGAAAGTGCCATGGCAGAGCGGAAAAGAAGAGAGCTGGCATGCAGAAGGTACGCGGTTCAACCCTGCTCCATGCTACTATTTTATATATTTTAAAAATTTTATCACTGCTGTGAGGAAAAATTCTCCTCCCGGGTCCCCAGCTGGGTTTTGAACCGGGGACCCGGCGCCTGGCGGTCAGCGAGCTAGACCGCCAGGCCACTGGCCTCTTCGAAAATTTGTTCTCGGAACTTATATTTAAAGGTTAGATTGCGCAATATAAAAAAAAGAAAAAAAATGGCCGCCTGGCCTCATTTGAATAATTGAATAATAAAAAGCAGAAAACTGAATATTCAGAAGGAAACCACAACTGACCCAAAATTCTGGTTCTCAATTTAGACATTTATTCCATATTCTTTCTATTGTTGCCCTTTATTTACACTTTTTACAAACCTATTTCACACTTTTTTTTAAAGTTAATATTACAGTTTTTAAACTTCACATACATGTATTTAACAAAAAACACAATTCTGTTTAATAAATGTAGACGTTAATTTACTTCCCTTTACAAGATTCTAAATTTGTCAATGCTCAATATTTTAAAAGCAAGTCCTACGTTAAATTTGTTCACTAATTTTATTCTTCGGGGGGGGGGGGGGGGGGCTGCACAAAGTTGTTTTTAACTATAAAAGGCCAAACTTTTGTTTGAATGTGCAAATGGAGTTTTTAAATTTGGTAATCTCGATTTTACTTAAAATTGTCAGTGATTTGTGCCTCAAATCTTATACAACTATTTTTTTCAAATTCTGAAATGTTTTAACCACTTCAAAAAGAAAAACAATACCAGTTCCAATACAGTAACGCCTTATTTCAGGAATAATTGCTTGTACAACTAAATTTAAATAAGTTGAACATTGATTTACGAACATGTTACAGATAATAAATGCATACTGCCCTCTATAAACCAAATACAGGGGTGTGAAATCTCAGCTTTATAGCTGATTTCAGCTATTTTTGTTTTGGATTTCAGCTATTTTCCCTCACTTGCTGTGTACAAAAGTATTGGGGATTTCCAAAGTTCAGCTTTTTTTACACCTTTTTCAGCTGTTTTCAGCTATTTTTGTCAGAGGTCACTCACACCCCTGCAAATATTTTAACTGTGTCTATCTGGCTAGATTTTTATGCCAATTCATTTTTAGAATGCTCAAATTATTTCAAAAACACTTTCCATTTCCCTTTTCTTTCCATAAATTTAAGGACATCTCAAAAAACAAATATTTATGGATTTTGTTTCCTTAAAACTTGGATTTTTCCTCCCAGAACTTTTTTCTATTAGGAATGTAGTTTTAAAATTGTCACTTTACAAAAAAAGACAGTTTCAATTGTATATTGCAAAGAAGTTACTAATGTTTAACTTTGTTGATAACATCTTTTACATGACACAAATTTGGCTTGATTTCATTCATGTCAACCATATCTTACACCTTGTAACAAAGCACTCCTATGCATCATGTTTAAACCAATCGTTAGTGTGGATCATACACTTTGAGTTTTAAATAATCACATTAGTGAAATTGTATTTATATTCCTTTTATTTCTATAAATAGTTTGATTGTAAAGCACCAGGGAGCATTGAACGCTATAGAAATTTCCATTATTATTTTATTATTACTATACATAAATTCGTTCATTAAACAGTCATTAGCAATTCATGGGCAATAGAGGGCGCTCCTCATCAAGACTAATATTTATTTACTACAACTAGGGTGCACAACTATATACAACATTTTTTTACTTTTTACTTTCTCTCAATGAGATACAAACAAAAATCTCAATTTTAAATTTAAACAAATGATAACTACACAAATGAACAAAAATACAATAATGCCAAGTAACTAATTGGGCAAAACCAGAAAATCTACAGTTTGAGCAAGTATATGGGCAATTCCATGGTGACAGACATTAGAGAGTTTCGGCAGGTTTCAAATTCGCAGCAGTCTCAAGATTCAGAACAATTTTACGCGTGACACCATCACTTCAATTCTTCTCGTACGTGAATCGATAAAGTGGCATAGGTTTTTAATTCAAATTTCTCTCTTAAAGAAAAATGATAACCACCTCTCATTCTTAATTTTATGATGTATAAGACATATGTCACTTTGCAATTAGAAGCTAAAGAGTGAACTTTTCATGGTAAATTTGGAGCATTTTTGTGACAAGAAATTATGACGCGATTTTCTCAATAGGTATACGCAGAGACGCCATGACAAAAACTGAAATTTGAACACGCCATTATGTTTGCGTACACTAATCATATCAATTCCAATACGCATCCTTTTTTTCGGGATGAAGTGTCTTTACATTTTTCAACCTGTAGACGCATTGATCTTTTCTGACCTTCGCTTACAGAACTCTTTCTTTATTGTGACTGACATTGCATAAAAAAACAACACAGGAAACAAATGATAGATCAAATTTGAAATTTCTCTTCATGTTAAAGGCCAATGGATGTCATATTTTATTTCTCATATAATTTATAGCGAGTATAACACTTTATACATGTACAAAGATGTAAATCATGATAATTGAGAATTGAGACAGTGTATAGAAAAGTTTCTGTTCAGGTCAAGTTTTATTTTCTTCATAATTTCCAACAGTGACTGTATGAAAGAACAAAATAATTTTTCAATATCCAAACTCAGAGAGTTTTAGAATTTATGAAAAACAAAAACGTAATAAAAAACCTACATGTATATACCATCAACACCAAAAAGTAACTGATCATAAAGCTAATTAAGAAAGAAACTTTGCAAATATTACAGTTGTCTCCAATAAAAACTGTGTAAATAGACTTGCATCATATTTGCTGTTTACTAAAAATGTGTAGGTCTCAACATGTTTAACAAATTCCATGCTCAATTCTAACTACTTTTTTCATAGTTTTATTCTTGCTCACTTATGAAACTCCTCATGTTCTGTTCTTTTCTGTCTATTCCTCTTTCATTTGTTCCTCTTGTGGTCTTCATGCAATCCTTTTCTTCCAAGTTTTGTTTCTGCTGTGTGTCTTTCTCTCTCCTGCAAGTTGCAACTGGGTGTATATCTTTCCTGAAAAATATAAAATATTCAACAGAATTATTCATATTTTGTACATTTTTATATTGACACAATTTTCTAGCAATACCAAAGTTATCAAATGAACTAACAACAAAATGAAGAATTTAAATCAGCCGATGTTTAGTAATAGGGAATTATGAATATCAAACTATTTGGTGCCAAACAATAATTCAGTTCTCACAGGGAAGACTTCCCCCACCCCACCCCATCAGAATGGACAATGATAGACTACTTGTGCCCAAAAGCAAAACAAATATATTGTTCATTTTATCAAAGGGTTAAAAAGACTTGTTTTGTGAAAATATATCAGCTCAGACAGTGGCTTGGCACTCAGTTGCATTTTGGTTCAAAGAGTTTACTACTTGTATGTGTATGGACTTAAATAACATGTGTACTTGTATTTTCCTCAACTACGGACTGTGCAATAATGTGACTGGCATTACGTTACGCTAAGAGATTGTGACTGCATGACATTACATGTGGCTGACATTACAATATTTCACAGCGGCCTAAGCATTAAAACTACAATGTAAACAAAATATTTTTTGTAAATAAACTTGTCAGGACTCAAGCTAAAAAATTTGTAACGTAATTATTCATTAGTCACAAAATGTAGGTATTTACAAAGAAAAAAATTATGTTTTGGCGACTTATGAATAATTAAATTTGTATTTTATTATACAAGCAATATCCGACTTATATTGACATCTTAAAAATAATATCCATTTTCACAAAGATGCCCTCAATATGGTAACATAAAATTTGAGAAAAATGTTACTGAATAGATAGCAAAAGACCAATTTAAAATTCCTTACCAGTGCATCCATAAGTCATCATGACGTCATTGCAGACTTTGATGTGATGGTGTACCGTAACTCACAAAATAGTGCGCGCATGGGACAAAACTATTTCAGTTTTAAAAACGCCAAGCTATATTGTGTCACTTCAGCAAATCAAACTTGAACAAACCGTGAAATAATTGTTTGGTCTTGTGTCTCCACCAGCATGGAATTGCCCATATAACCTTTTTTACTCATTTAACAGCCTAGTACATTCTAAATAGGCCCAAGGCACCTTGGATGTAGTTTCTCTGATGTTTGATGTCATCACAAAGTGGTGCAGTTTCAGGGCATTCCAGTATCAAGAGCAACGTCTTCTTGGTAAGAGCAGGAAAACCTGAAATTCAATTAAAAAATTGAAAATTGAATATACACAAAATATGTACATGCAGTTTATGATTTCTTTTTCAGATTTTTGCAGGATTTTGTAGCTTTTGAGGCTCCACAAAAATGGGAGAACAACTATAATAATAAGTAGAATATAGGTAGGGAGGAGTTTTCAACATAGAATTTAGAATTTTAGCTTCCTTTGCGTTCACATCTACAGCAAAATTTTGGCGTGAATTGATCATCAACCCATAATTCACATAAACATTGTTGCAAAAGCAAGTACTCAAGTATATTGAACAAGTTCTTAGTTCACCTGAAACACATGCGTTCCTCTTCTTGTGGTTCTGATAACAGGCGTCTGATGACTTACTCAGGTTACTCAGGTCCTGTCTTATCAAAGACTGTGCAAAAAATGAAACATAGATTAGTTATAGTAGATTAAATTACTTGCGAGGCTGTCGACATTGGTTATTATTATCCGAAACAAATAACTGACTTTTAGAGGCAAGCAAAACGATACACATTTCATACACGTGAGCACACAGAATGGAAAGTTACAGAACAATTTGAGTGTTCATCACAGAGCTTGAGTTGGCATTGTAATCGTTGGACCATGCTCTGAATGACAGGTAGTGGTGTGTACGTGTTTGCAGCCAAGTAAGTGAGGGTGCCAAAGAGGGCTGATTCAAATTACCAGCTGCGGTCGGTTGTCAACAAGAGAAATTGACCAGAGTAAAACTCTCGGGCGGCGGCCCACAGAACCGTGGTCATGATCTTGGAGAGTATCTCCTTTCCCTTGTCCGTACGTGCGACTACTGAGCCATAACAGCAGCCACTGAAAGAGATACGCAACAGGCCAACCACCATAATAGCCTGGGACCAGAGGGTACAGATCTGCCCGCTCAAGCTGAAGTTGGCCAGGTCCCCCTCCGTAGACTCGCTCATGAACTGAATGGTGCGGCAGACGACAGAAGTCATCTGCATGGTGGAGACACTGCAACCGGTATTGCCAGGTGAAGACAAAATTCATACAGCTTGCGTGACAGTGTTTGACTGCAGCATCCTGGATGGGATCCGTCAGACCCAGACTGCCCACCATTCTGTCTGCTAAGATGTCATAGGTGGCAGTCCTCGTCGGAAGGATGTAAACTTTCCGCACCAACCTCACCACCTCATCCCTTAGCCACTTTAGACTTTTCTTCTGGCAATCGCTGGCAAGCAACACATACAAGGTGCACTATTCAATGGCAGTTTGTAGCACATCCAGCGTTTGCCAGAAAGCCAGGAGAGAGGATTCCACCTTGCCCAGATCTTCTGTCATCTTGGCCACCACTGCCTCAAGGTTCTCGTTACTTCTGCGACCCGATACGGACGTGACAGTAACGATATAATTCCTCAGTCAGTGCTGGAATATCGCTGCCTTGCACTTTGTAGTCTGAGGGAAGCACTCACCGACCTCTGCGACACTCCAGGGACATAGTGACACACTTCATTGGTCTGAAGGTAAGCCGCAGCTTGATGGCCAAGTCCAAAAGCAACCCGGCCTGCTCCCTCACCTAGCTGTGAAGGAATTCCAGCGCCGCACATCAGTCACATGGATTCGGTTGTTCCCCCAGCACATACATGTACAGACCCTCATCTGTGTTATGAAAAACCAAAGGGCCCCAAAGGGAGTGTTGGAGCACCAGAGCAACTCTCTCATCCACGCTAGAAGAACCCCGCAGGGAACTCCAGCATTCATCCGTGGAGTGTTGGGAAATGGCCAGATCTCACTTGATCCCAGTCCCGGCTGGGAAGTCCCTGATTTGTGCTCCTGGGAGACAGAGTGCTAGGCTGATGTCAGTACAGTCGTAATTAATTGACCAACCAAGCCATGGGCTGGGAGCGTTGTATCCACAGGCTTGGAAGGTGTGTCATGAGGCCGCAGGAGAGCCCGGACAATTGGTGAAACGGACCCACTGCACTTGTGAGTTTGGTAGTGGTTGGAAACAGCTAGCCTGTCTGAGTCAAACTCCCACTGATAAACGTACAAGGTGAAAGGAAACTAGAGAATGTACTGCTGGTGTTGTGTCAGCGTCTGCTGCAAGTGGTAGCTCTCCCGACACATGACACAATTCCAGTGACAGGATAGGAAAAGATTGGTCTCATTGTCTGAAGATCTTGGAGGCTGTGGATTTGAAATGGACCCGTGCCTGTAACGATGGAGTCCAAAAGCCGCAGGAATGATCTTGAGTACCACGTACAGGTGTTGGTCTGGCCCTTGTCCATGTTATGGTCGCCCTTGGGTTCCTGAGCATTCCTCCACGGAGTGTTGGGCACTTTCCCGGTCACTTCCCCAAACCCTCATCTGTGATACGGTTACCCTGAGGGGTTCTCAAGCATGCATCCACAGAGTGTTGGGCCAGAGCCAGAATCCTCCCCTTATCCGCCTTACTGTTGCCCAAAGGGGCGTCTGATGAGTGTTCCTTCGCGGAGTGTTGGAGATTGGCCGTGTAGTGATTCTTCTCCAGCAGCTTGTCTCCAGAGTTGTTCCTCATCATCCAGCTCCTTTACCTACCATTTCAGGGAGCATGGTCGATTGCTTGAACGACTGCAAGAACGATGACGTCCTGCGGACAATGTTTGTATTTGCAGTGACAGCTGGCTTATTTCTGTGTGAAGAAGTTGCACTTCTGTCAGTGATGAAGGGGTGCATGTAGATGCGACTGAGTTGACCCTGACTGACTGCTGTGGAGCAGCAACATCCATTATTCTGTCTGCAAGTTCAGCCCACTGTTTGATTTTGACGCTATCACAAGTAGGACATTTGACTGAAGAAACAACTTGCATGCAATCTACTTCAAGCGATCTCCAGTAACTGGGTCGGTTGCATGTCACTGAGTATACACTTGCTGAAACTGTTTTTAGTTTTATTATCCGCAACAAATACCTGACTTTATGAAGCAAGTGAAATGGTAAACAAACAAGATAATTACACACATGCACAGAATGGAAAGTTACATAATGAGTGAACTTGTTCACAGAGATGTCTGAAGAAGGTGCACTAACAACAACTTCAAGCGAGGATCTGATCCAAAAATGGTGCGTAAAACCTCTACTGATCCATTTCAAGTAAAAAGTTGATGTAACAACCACTTTGAATAAAGTTTATGCAATTGATCACTGATGCAGGCAGGGATGTGAAGTCAACCATTAATTGTATCCTTTAAATTTATTAGTTCTTGAGTTCTGAAAAAAACACATTAAAACTACATTCTAAGCAAACCAAAGGCATCGAAATTTTGTCAAAGACACCACAAACTGACACTCGGTTTTCACGAAATGAAACCGGTCTTAATGTCACCAGTTTAAAGGATTCTAATTCATTTTTTGTGTAAGCCCACAAGTAAATGGATGGCGTAAATTCGGTCGAAGCCTTCAAAGCATTTTTATATTGTATTTCCATCACATGCTTGTGTTTCATTGGGTAAAATACTACATTATTCTATTACGAGTCAGTGTACTATTAAAGTGCGTGCACACACCCCCATGTCAGTTCGTGAAACTGAAATTATTGATAACACGGTTTTCACGAACTGACTCCACATGCGTACATGTCAGTTTGTGAAAACAGTGAGGATTTACCTGATGTGTGATGTCACAAAGTAGTGCCGTGTCAGTGCATTTCAGCATCAAAAGCAGCTCATCTTTGAGGTCCAGGTATTGTGAAAACCTTGAATTGGAAATAAAAAGCGGTCAAAATTAATTATATATGTAAGTATAGGGACCGTACACGAACCGGCACGCAATCGCTCTTCAGGAGGTATATAACAGGTGTTTCCACATGTTATTGATCGTCAATAAATCTAAGACTGGTGGGTCATTTATTCCTGATATAATGCAATCCTAAGCTGGCTGTTTTATCAAATCCTGCTTCATTGATCCACACTGGATCTTGCAGGCATTTGGATATTGCCCATCAATGAATGCAGCAGGAATGCGGCCACAGCGTTCCCTGGCTCATCACCCTTCATTGAGCTGCAGTCACCGCCGTCAGCCAGCGTTAAGGGGTTAAATGATCACCTGTCTTTAGGTTAGGCATTCTCCTGATGACAGTCACAGATCACTGACTAAATCTTCAAATCTTCAGAACCACTTCTCTGTTTAACCCTAAAGGGGCCGGGTTATTTTGACCATCTCTCAGCCGGGGGGGGGGGGGGGGGGGGGGGGGGGGGGGCGGATTCGGCCCCCCCTAAGATCTCGGCCATCGAGTGACGAAAAATTTTGAAACTCGATACATGCATAGAGCAACTCTTCCTTGACATACCCAAGAAATTTCATGACTATAGGTCAAAGGATTTTGGAATTATGGCTAATTAATTATTCATATGTACGAATGGCAATTCTGCTCTGTGTACACGACGTATATGCGAAAATTCAGTTTTCACGGCGCGTAGCGTCGAAAAAATTTTCGCTACGCGGCAACCCGTGGTCCGATTTTTATGTTTTTGGTATCAAAAGATGCGCAAAGCTCGAGGCTAAAAAGTCATAACAGCTCGAGTCGCGAAAAAAATTTTTTTAGAGGCTATCACGGAAAATGTTGAGGGGGGGCGCGGATTCCGCCCCCCCCCCCCGGCCCTTTTAGGGTTAAAGACTGTCACTTCACATGCTGTTCATATTGAACTTTTCCCTAGTGATTTCTATCGTATTCAAAATCACCTACCTAGGCAGAGTCAGCATCCAGGATCTCTAGTAGCTACCATTATACATCAGCGTTGTTAACTTGAACTTTGCTCCTCCACCCCTAGCTACCGACTTCCTCAACGGGATGTGCTCTAGCGCCCATCGCATGGCAGATGGCAGAGAGGTTGGAGCAAAACTACTTCACTGAAACATCCGTCTGTGGTGGCAAGAAATTGGAGATGCAGTGGAAGACCAGGAGACTACTGGTGAAAGATGCTGGTCATCACCTGGCTGTCAGCAACCTCCCTATGGATGGCACAGACAAAGAAAAGGCGACAATACCATCAACGCATGTCATTTGTAACCAGCATGCTTTATATGCAATTGTTGACCAACTAGGAAGGCAGCTGCAGCTTGCGTGTGTCACACTTGATCGGCAAGTTTCTAATATTCAAACATTCATTTAAGTGCAGTTTCGAAATAATCAGTTTGGAGTCATTGGTTTGTAGATCATTGCTGTGCTTTTACAGTAATTTTCCAATAATGTTGTTTGGTTTTTTTACTTTTTTCTTGCTGTCCATTTATCTAAATCTTAGTTTTTCTCAATATTCTCCAAAAATTGTATCCAATTGTTTATTATTTTTATCCTTGAAAGTTTTATTTTTCTCCTTGGCAAATTCATTTTAAGTTTTTAATTCGTTGTTTGATCCAGATTGAGATTGCTTTCATGTATTTAAGAAGATTTTTTTTATTTAAGGATACAAATTGTTTTTGTGTGAAAGATCTTCTTTTTTATCAGACTAAATTCAAAATTTGAGAAGTATATTTGGTTTCCTTGATTCCTTTTCTTCTTTCTCCCAGTTTCTAAAAAATATATCGTGACATAATAATTTCAACCAGGATTTTTTTCTCAGTGAGCCATGTTTTTGCGATAATATCACAATTTTATGTGTTTGCATGCAGTTAAATAACTACATTTACAAAATACCAAACATTTAACTAGTCATAACCTAGAACAACATTCGATTTCAAACCTGAAAACCTAGCTTTCCCACCACTTTCCCACCACCACTACTTCAAAAAGTTCTGATGAAGGTTGATTGGTCAGTCAGTTGTAAATCCACTCGTGAGAAACGCTCTCCTCTGCAAGGCTATCGTGCTGTCTGTGTGGTCCACCTGCAGAGGAAGATGTGAGATAGAAACAAAAAGGCATATCAGAGTCAAGTCAACTTGAATTGGATTGAGAACAGCGGGGTCTTAGAATAGTGTTTATCAGACAGGGCTCATAGTGGATCATCAGACAATTTCAGAATTTGGGAACATCTCAACTACAAAGAATATTTTGAATTCATCAAAAATAAGACATCAATGTTGTAGTATCTATCAAGAGGACATGCAGACTTGAATTGATCTCAAGAGATTATGGAGACTATAATCAGATGACCACATTTAAAAGCAATTTCTGAGGTGGAACCAGTGGACACTTTCAGGGCATATGCACAATCAGCGAATCATTCGTAGTTTGAAAAATATGTTTACAACTTGCAAAACTGTCCTTCAAATACACATGTGTAAATCTTTGTGACAACAGCAGAGAGTCTATACTCTCTACCTTGGAAGTCAACTACAATTGCTCCTTGATTTCAAAGCACAAGTGCAAAATCAGAGACCTTATTAAACTGGTAGTTCTTGCTAACAATGACTGCGGCAGATCTTGTCTCCTGCGTGTTTCTCAGAGCCCATACTGACTATCAGGAAAGGAAGGAAAGTAAAACAAGAAAATAATGTTTTATATCTGAAGGAAATAAATGATCAGGGCTGAGAATGACCAGAAAGCATCATTCTGGACAAACTGTGGAATTAAATAAATTTGCCAAAATGCACTGCGAAAACCAATTTCGAGCCAGCAATCACGTTGAATTGACAAGCATATCAAAAATACACAATCTGACTTGAGCATGTATATTTTGCTCTGACAAGGACCTCTGAATTGGCAAATGTGCAATCATAATTTCAGCCTTTTCTTAGGTTAATCCGTTCCCTTTGCTGTCTTGAATTGATCATCTTCAGTCAGATGTTTTGCTCACCTTTGATTAGAATGATTCATTGTCACCACAACAAATTCCTCTACAGCCTCTCATCTCCAGTGGGGGGGGGGGGGTAAACTGCAATAACAAAATAACTTGCAAAACAACATTATCCAGTGGTAAATTGTTGAATTTCTTTTTTAAATTAATCAATTAAACTGGAAGTTGTTCAGTTTTGAAACTGTTCAATTTGCCGAAGAAAAAAAACTGACCTGACAAAATCAATTTTAAAACGTCTCATGCAGAGCATCAAAAGCCATTAATTTAGAATGCACTCCAAAGTACAGAACTTGATTTGTTCACAGACAAATGTCCAATTGTAATTTCAGCCGTTTTGAAGATGTTTCTCCATTCCTTTTGCTGTCTATAATGGATCAGTTGCAATCAGATGCTCACCTTGGATTGGACGATTGGATCCCCTGAAGTCGTTGGTTCATTGCTACTTTCCCTCTTCTCTCCAGTAAGCTTCTCATCCATGGTAGCTTGTACCTTGCAGTGTTATCAAAAACAAAACAAAACAATCATTCAAGTGGTCAAGTTTTTAATGTTTTGCACACAAATCTTGTCCACAATTTTGTATTTCCAATTATAAACACAAAAGCAATTTTATTTGTGTTGTTTTACTTACATGTATTTGTTCTTTTTATTTAGCTCGCCCAGAATTTTTAAGCTATAGATTCAGAATGCCGAGTTAAAACTGGAATGAAATTTTGAGAGGTGGAATCAATTTCAATTTCAACAAAAAAAAGGCCTTTGTTTACCCACTCTGAACTCCAGTCAGAAAAAGAGGAGATGTTTTCCATTGTAAGAAAAGGTTTTAAAATCTTTCTTGAACAGAATGCTTTGGTTTACTTGATGGAAAAAATAATAATCCAAGAAACAAATGAAATGCTTTTTTTGATCTAAAATTGAAGTCCATTTTGACTGATCAGCAATAATTATGATGTTTGTTGAGAATTTATTTTTCAAAAGTTGAATTAGATTTTCAAATTTCTTCAAAAAGTCATTCCTTCTTAAAATCTTACCTTGTTTGTAGATGTAACCCTTCTGGAAGCACATCCTGGTAAGATTGGTTTAAACAGGGCCACCACGTGAAGGTCCCAGGATACCAGCCCCAAACACGCTTTCAGTATCGTCAGGTCCTTTGCTGGGCAAAAGGCCGGCCCCGGAGGGCCATGCACAGTTGCCGACTGTCCGGTACGCCCCCCCAACCCCGAAGGATCAGGAGAGTACCCTAACCTATATGCGTGCCCCCCTAAGTCCATCCCCCATTACGGGTTCATGCGGTCTGATAGGAAGTAGCAGCGTTTGCCGGCTGTGAATACAGGGCCACGCCCCTATAAAGAGGGACGCACTACCTGCTCCTTTATGGCACGGCATCCTAGGGTTTCCAGGCCGCTGCGTAGGACCCACGCCCCACGTGGATGCCGGAGCATTCACGCGGACGCAACCCGTCCCTTGAAACTGGGTTTGCCCCGCACCTCAATCGGAGAACCAGTCCAACTCCGATGACCTGTGGAGAAACCACCACCTACACCCCACACAAACCACCACCTACACCCCACACAATAACAAGCACACACCCACCACCAACCAGTACATCACAAACACATATTTCAACCACCCTGGACATTCTTATTGTTTAAGTAAATCATTAATCAAAATGTAATCTTTAAAAAAATAATAAAAAAGAACAATTTGGGCTGATGGGAATGTTTTTCCCCAAACTTTATTTCAACAAAATCCTGAGAAACAAATTGGCTTTTGTGCTTATTTCCAAAACTTCTTTTTCACTCAAATTTTTCCAGGATGGTTTAAGTTACATATATATGTACAAGCACATTTGAATTTTTTTTTTGTGAGAGAATTTTTATTACAAAATTGCAAAAAAATGCCGCGCAAATTGGTTCACATAAGATAATAATGTACTGCAGTTGCTTTGACTTATAGAATCAGGATAGATTCAAATTTGCTTGCACATGAAAAAGTACAAGAATTGTGGTTTGACTTACTCTGAACAAAACGAACGACTCCACTTGCAAACTGTCACAATCCGGGGGGAACAAGTGCATGTGGCCTTGAGCTGCAAACAAAATGGTTACCTCACCTCGGTTAACATGCAACCTTGTTCCCCCTGCACCGATGATTCCGAACAATCCAACGAATGACTCCACTTGCAAAAACTGTCACAATCCAAGGGGGGGGGGGGACAAGCGCATGTGGCCCTGCAAAAAAATGGTTACCTCACCTCAGTTAACATGCAACCTTGTCCCCCATGCCGACGATTCCGAGCAATCTATCGAACGACTCCACTTGCAAACTGTACACTTTCACAATCCAGGGGTCTCTTGTGCATGTTCACGTCTGCAGAAAATCAATGAAAATAAATTATGGTTCATTTAATTTGAATTATTTTCCTTGTATTGCCTTTGGTCAAATAATAAAAAGCTGAAATTTATAAAATACCAGATTCATTATATCTGCCATTTTTACACTCTAAAAACAGATTGGTTATCATAACCAAACATTGGTTGAATTAACCAACAATTGTTTAATATGTGTTGAACTAATCGGGTTGGTTGGATACATTTTAACCAACATTGGTTATTTAACCAATCTGTTTTTAGAATGACCTATAGTGTCATGCCCCATAACATGTGTTAATTTGTGAAACAAACCCAAACCTAGTTAAATGATGCATTGCTGTAGCATCAGCAAAATCCTTTTTTAAGCATGCCAATTATAAATTAACAATGTTTATTTTTTTGGGGGGGGGTTTACCTCCGAGGTTTCCGGGTGATACAGGCATCCACAGGTAGCGAGGATGGCGAATTCCACTTCTCCCAACATCAGAAAGTCACCAGAAAGTCACCAGAATCATTCCACTTGTCCCAACATCAGAAAGTCACCAGAATTCCACGTCTCCCACATCAGAATAGGCAGTGATCCTCAAAGTTCCAGTTGGTCCTTCCAAACAAGCATCGTCCTTCCAAACAAGCATCGTCCTTCCAAACAAGCATCGTCCTTCCAAACACGCATCGTCCTTCCAAACACGCATCGTCCTTCCAAACACGCATCGTCCTTCCAAACAAGCATCGTCCTTCCAAACACGCATCGTCCTTCCAAACAAGCATCGTCCTTCCAAACAAGCATCGTCCTTCCAAACAAGCATCGTCCTTCCAAACAAGCATCGTCCTTCCAAACAAGCATCGTCCTTCCAAACACGCATCGTCCTTCCAAACAAGCATCGTCCTTCCAAACATGCATCGTCCTTCCAAACAAGCATCGTCCTTCCAAACAAGTGTCCAAACAAACTTCCAATATTGCATGGAGTTCAAGGTAGGCATGTTCTTCAGTTGTGCTTCCAAGACGATTGTATCAAGTTATGTAGCAGTTTGCAACGAGTCCGCACTGGAGAAACGCAATACTCAACCAAACGTTCATGTCCATCCTTTGTTCCAAACTGTTCAGATGTGCAGCAGTATTGCCTGTACTGTTAATGTCCAAAGTCATCCAGGGGCAACTTCTAATTGGAGGTGATTTTCAAAGTTTCTCTGTAATGACTCTCACATTTTACTGCTCCGTACTGAACACTGTCCCAAGTATGTCAAGGGCCAACTTGAGTAAATGTCCTATACCTCAATTTTTAAATCATGTGGTTATGGCAAACAAGAAATGTGAGTTACCTTGTTTGTAATTACAGTTTAAAATAAAATTCTTTCAGGTTTATGCCTTATACTAACTAGTCCTTTCAAACATTTCTTTTTATGAATGTAGTTTTTAAATTGAATTTTTAGATTGAACACATCCTTCATTGTTTGGCTATTTATCATTTATATCATCGTCGTATAGAATATAATTTCATTTCATTTGATTTTTTCGTCAATTTTTAACATTAAGATTTTTTTTAAGATTGTCCGTTTTTTAGATTATGCTCTGAAAGAATTTGTTTAAAGCATTTTCATTTCCTTTCTTGTTTGTGCTCATTATTTCAGCCAAATGTAAAAGTCGACTCAAATTGTTTGCTTTTCAATAAATTTTGTAAATGCTAGAACTGTTTTTACTAGCAATCCAGCTTTGAGAAACTAAGAAGAAAATGCACAAGTGAACTCAAGTTCCCAAGAAGCGTGGAATATTTGCCCAGTCCTTGCAACATTTGGACAGGTCTGGTTAGTGGTTAATTAGGTGGTTTATGTCGTCAGTGCCAGTGGTTAATATGACTGTCTGTCAATGGATGCATGCAGATGATTGAATGACCTAACAAATGCTGCAAGGGTCCACAGTTTTACACAGAATAGTGGAAACAAAAATGACTTTGGCATACTTGAATGCTACCACATTGTAGTCAAAACTGGATTGCCATCCCAAGTGAGCTGCCTCACATCTAAAGCTAAATTTGACTTTTATGAGCTTTGTCCTTAGGTTTTGTTACATTTACGGTTCTGCTGATGCTTTCTAGTTTCATTAAATCAAGTGGAAAACTTAGTTTTAGGCACTGAATATTCTTAAGTCTAAAAAAATATTGATTTAATTTATTAAAGTGAATATTTAAAGTATTTGAAGTTTAAATTTACTTTTATTAGCACTGACCTAATGTTTAGGTAAGGTTTATTGAGCAACTTATTTTCCAATTATTTAAAAATTGGACTTAATTAGTTCCAAGCATCTACGTGCTCGAGGTTTAAACATCACGAAGATTTAGTCCATTTTGTTAATGTTTTTGGAATCAAATCACTCATTTCAGATTTCAATTTAACTACATAGCTCATAAGATTATTTCCATGCCCTAAGAAGTTGGCCCGAAAGACTTTACTGGAGCTTTGTTCTAGAGCATATTAGTTCAATGAACAGAGTTTAACCATGACAAACCGAATGGCAAGGACTTTGAAAGTTGGGCATTCCTTTAGTTGAAGATCAGCTTTGTGTGGTTCACATAAGCATTCTTGACAGCATCCACTTCATTGGCTCTGAGTCTGACTGTCATGATAACCACCTGTAAATAACAAGAGTGCAACTGATCAGTTTTCAATGGCAGACTTGTGAGAGCTACCATTCAGTACTGAACATTCAAGAGACATGCAGGCAAATAGAATAGACATTTGAAGGAAGTGTATAATTATTTCGCAGGTTAGATTTAGCTGGCTTTCTTTCAGTGAACGATATTTAGCCAGATAGATTATACAGCGCCCACTTTTGATGCGTATACGAGAAGGCCTACATTATAAAATGCATTAAATTACCAACATTGTTTGTGCATGTGCAAGACCTGTGGCCTAGTGGATAGCATGTGAATCTTATGAGTGAGAGATCCCCAGCACAGCAGGGTTCGATTCCCAGCTCTCGACATTTTCAATTTTTTTCATCCCACACAATTAAGAATATCCTTTTATTATTTTAAATCGATTAGAACTCCGACATTTAATTACCGATTTTCTTTTTCTGATTCTTGGCTCTGAATGATTTGTTTTAATTAAAGGGAAATAAAGTCCGAAATTGTAAAATGGTCAGATTTATCACGGTAAAAATGTCTAAGTCACTGCGCATGTTCAGTGCCTATCCAGCAAAATATCGTTTGCTTCAAGAAGCCGGCGCCGGCTAAATATACTCCCACTGCCAAATTTAAAGAGGTTGTGGAATGCTCAAAGACATTTCCGTCATTTTTCGGGTATATGTAGCCTAAGGTGTGATGAAATAAAAACGACTATTGTTTCTGTCATAAAATGAGTACAAAAGGTACTTTTGAGAGCTGTTTTTCAAGCCCTGTCATGCCTGTTCCGACCCGAACGTGCAATTTGTGTAAAAGTCGTCGTTGCGGGCAGCAAACAAAACACAGTAAATCGTGACGTAATAAACAGGACTCCCGATGCAGAGTAGCATAAACGAGTCCTGTTTATTACGTCACGATTTACTGTGTTTTGTTTGCTGCCCGCAATTACGACTTTTACACAAATTGCACGATTGGGTCGAAACAGGACCTGAAAAATAGCTCTCAAATGTACCCTTTGTACTCATTTCATGACAGAAACAATAGTCGTTTTTATTTCATCACACCTTAGGCTAAATTAGCCCCATAAATGTGGCCTATTTACTGGACTGCCTCCGTAAACATAGGCCACACGTCCACATGTACAAAAAATCGTGTCGACTTTGCCAAATTTTGATTTTCACATTTAGGCTTAGTTTGTAGGATTTTTTTGCTTTAGAAGCATACTCACCCACTTTATAGGCTAGTCAGAAAATGCTGCCTTTTTCAGATGTCTAATTTTTGTGAAATTTCATGTTGAAATTTTGATACGCAAACGTGTAAAAATGAATCTGGAAATTTCACGAAAAATATACATCTGAAAAAGGCAGCACTTTCTGACTAGCCTATAAAGTGGGTGAGTATGCTTCTAAAGCAAAAAAATCCTACAAACTAAGCCTAAATGTGAAAATCAAAATTTGGCAAAGTCGACACGATTTTTGTACATGTGGACGTGTGGCCTATGTTTACGGAGGCAGTCCAGTAAATAGGCCATATTTATGGGGCTAAGGCTAAATATACCCAAAAAATGACGGAAATGTCTTCGAGCATTCCACAACCTCTTTTAGCTGGAGTTACCCAGCCCTGAGTTTTATCATTGGGTTGTCTATTACTATTAGGGCTGGAGCGCATTTTTCTCAAAACTTGTAGTATTTGCAAAAAAAATTTGGAAAATGTTCAATTTTGTCCCCGTTACACACTAATTGCAACTGCAACTCACCCCAAACTTGCCTGGAATAACCATTACACAGGTCCTTGAAGTAAAAAAAACGATCCACGATGAAGATTCAGCCTACAATTGCAGTGAAAACAGGAGGAATAACCGCTAACTTGACAACCTTGCTGGATTGGCCAGGACCGCTATTGGTTTGTGCACAAAAAAAATTGTGTACAATGAATGGCGGTCGATTAACAGGCACAGAGAGCGATCGCTGTCAACTACTCGTTTTGCCGGCTGCGCTGGCTGTTGGCGCATGACGTCACGCGGAAGCGTAACACCCGATGACTGTTTCATGCACTATTGGTTGCGGTTCCAGTACCAAAGCTTTGATGCGAGTGGTAAACCTTATACTCGTGCATGAAACAGTCATCGGGTGTTACGCTTCCGCGTGACGTCATGCACCGACAGCCGGCGAAAACGAGTAGTTGACAGCGATCGCTCTCTGTGCCTGTTAATCGACCGCCATTCATTGTACACAATTTTTTTGTGCACAAACCAATAGCGGTCCTGGCCAATCCAGCAAGGTTGTCAAGTTAGCGGTTATTCCTCCTGTTTTCACTGCAATTGTAGGCTGAATCTTCATCGTGGATCGTTTTTTACTTCAAGGACCTGTGTAATGGTTATTCCAGGCAAGTTTGGGGTGAGTTGCAGACTTGCAGTTGCAATTAGTGTGTAACGGGGACAAAATTGAACATTTTCCAAATTTGTTTTGCAAATACTACAAGTTTTGAGAAAAAATGCGCTCCAGCCCTAATAGACAACCCAATGATAAAACTCGGGGCTGGGTAACTCCAGCTAAACCTCTTTCAACTTCAATAAAAAAGACAAGTTTGTGCATTAAAATTCCTGTTTTTATCCACGCCCAGCATGCATTGCAAATGTCAAAAATCTTTATTTTATCCTTTTACCCCTCATGCCCCCTCCATATAACCCGTTGCCCCCCCCCCCCCCTCCGCAGTCAAATTTCGGAAACCACGCCCATTTCCAGATTCTCAGAAAATGGAGAAAATAACTGACGGAATTCCTTCTTTAAAAACTTAGGATTTCGAACCGTGTTTTCCACTGCATCAACTTCAGAAGAATCTACAGTAGTTCAGTCACTTCCACCTAATTTTCCAAGGCCAAATGGTTCACTTTTCAGGCCAAAATTGGCAAACTTACTTTGACTGTTGTGACGTTTTTTTGAAGTCCTCCACCGTACGTGCCCCGCCAATTTACGAACGCGCAACGAACCACGTGAGATTGGTTTGTGAACAAATCCCTGGTCCCTGTACTATTGCCATGATTTCGAAGGCATTTGGAGACGCGAACCAGTTATTTGTGCCGCGCCTTATTTATCAATGAAGATAACCCGGCATTGTTTTTGTGGGTTAGTATTCACTGTCTTTAAGCTTGGGGGTAAAAGTCGTTTTTTCCCTTCTAATTCACAAGTTTTGTTTAACATCTTTTTAAATTCTCACAATTTTTGTAAAACAATATTGGAGACATGTATCTAAGAACAAGATCGTCTTCAATAGTTTGCTTAGATTTTTTTTTATTTTGAACTGAGTTCCCTTATTTTTGTATTGATGGATGGCTCACCCCTACCATTAATTTGGTATAGCCGGGACAGTGCTGAATGTATATGCAAATTTACATGTGCAATTGGTCTTTTCTTTCATCACGTGATAACTATGCAAATTTCCAGAGTGCCGCGATTTTCTAATTATTCCTCTATTTTAATAATATTCCTCTATTTTAATAATGTTCCTCTATTCGATATATATTTAATATCTAATATTCCTCTATTTAATAAATTTAGCCATAGAGGGCGGGCTTTCGATTAGTGCGGCCAAATTAACTTGTCCTCTGATAACCCCCCATCAATAATGTAGACAGCTGAATTAAATTGTACAAAAAACATCTTTTTTAAGGGAATATGGAAGGGGGTCAAACAAAATGCGCATTTTGTTCTTTTTAAAAGTGGACTTGTTTATTGGTAGTGGGGCCAGGACAAAGTATTGTTAATTCATGAATGGAGATGAAAGGGGGGGGGGGGGCAGTAATTTGTAAAGCAGATATAGCTCACATGTTCCATTTTTGGAGTTCATTGGGTGCTAGAAAAAAAAAAAACTATTTTAAAAAGGCTGTTTGATTTCAAATATAAGAGTCACCGTCACAAAGTACACAACAGCAAAACACAATAGGTGCACACCAAAACAATGTAATGAAACAATGATTAATTCAAGACAACTTCAACTTATTTGAAGTTGTCTTGAATTAATCAAAGAAGCTGTCTTGCAAACCGAAATGGGGCCACCAGAAATGCCTTTTGAGATAAATCCACCAGGGAAAAGTGAAGACGGCTGTTTTTAATACGAAATTGTAGTCTATTCATCCCCGTTGCCACTTTATAAAACAAAGAAAGAAAAGAAAGGAAACACTGCACCCCTCCCATAAAATGCGATCTAGCCCCGCCCCTCCGCATAAGGAATTGGCACAACTGGCCTGTCGGTGACCCCTTTCTTAATCCCCCAACAATAAATGCTTCTGGATCCATCAGTGATTTAGCTGTCTAAATCTTTTTTTTTAATTGCATGAATTACAATTTGTGATTGGGTTGATATATTTTCTCAGGAATTTCTTTTGATATCCTCATTATGAAGCCTGCATGCCTGATTACAAAACCCAAGTGGTGACCCAGCTGCAGAATTCAGAGGCGGGAGATAGGTACATCACTGAGGGAGGAATGGAGGCATAACACAACAATCATCTAACCTCAAAGATTTCTCCTTGCTTGACTCAAGTCATTGCATGCAATGATTTATTACACAATAATAATCATACAAAGTACACAATGTCAAATAACAATCCTGGACGTCTTAAACTTTGCCCCAAATATCTGAAAAAACAAAAGAAGAGATCAGAAATGTTTCTGCACCAATAACAAATAATATAAATGACTTACAAATTTCCAACAAAATCTCCATTCACATTTAACCATATCAAAGCCAACTCAACTTACTTCCGCCAAACGGTGCAAATATCAGATATTTAATTATATTTTCAAGTTAAGATAAGATAAGTTTACGGTAGCACCATGTGAATAAATCTCTTTTGTGAGTATGTGTGGTTCTGAAAAGAACCGGAGGGACTCAACGTTTCGAACAGTATGCTCTGCCCGTCGTCAGGAGAATGAGGGATTCCAACGACGATGCGATTATAAGGATGGGTGCGGTGAGGCGTGAGAAGGATGCAAACTGGTGAAGCTCCAAACCGGTGAAGCTGAGAAGGATGCAAGTTGACTGATTTATTCACATGGTGCTACCGCAAACTTATCTTGTCTTAGTATCTTTCCACCATGCAAACCTTCAAATCTTATTTTCAAGTTAAATAAACAAATTGACTGTAGCAGGATGACCGTTCCGGATTACCGTACCGGAACAGGAATCCGGAGGTCACAGGGTCAAACCAGCTCCAGTCAATTTCTTTGTTCAACTTTCAAGTTATTATAATGCACCGAGTCAGTTCTCCTTTGTGGTATATTTTTATGACAGAAACCAAACAATCCAGAAGTCAGCAGATTATCTTGACTTGGAGTCCGTGCCCGAGTGATGACCTTATCTTACAGAGTTGCACATTAATGATCACAAGATAAAAATCACAATGATGTAGTTTGTAAACCATGGCTTAAAGGCACAGGAACATTTGTATTTCATGCATTTTGTTCGTTTCCAATACATGTAATATCATCACTGTTCCACAGAAGAATACTCTAAACCTAACACGTTGAAACTTTGGATATTACACTTTTTAAGAAAAGAGTGAAATATCCATGCACAAACTTTTGATCAATAAACGCGATTTCGTCCATACAATGTAGAACTCTTATTTCCGAAAACAGTCAATTGACTAATCATTGGAAATCACCTACATTTCTTGATTTCTTCTTAATGACAGCAAGCCAGATGGAATAATTTCATGGGGTGTTTAGTACCAGTACGATCGTTAATCTAAGTGAGCTTTTTGATTACAATTCGGTAGGTTACTTTTGGGATAAATGCAAATGATCCCATCCCATATCCCTTGAAATGTGTAAATTAATGAGTACAAAAATCCCCATCATTTAAAATTGCAATCAGTTCGGCTTTGCAAATACAGTGTTTTAATCTCATTTTAATCGAAATCTTCTTTCATGTGTCATGCCAGCAACAACAGTTAAACATTATTTACATTCAGTTTACATTTCCAATGTGAATAAATCAAAACATTGATTCAAAGTATACTTTTTCTCTCCTGCAGAACTGCTTTTACCAAATTGAATGATTGCATTTGGGCATGTTATAAACGACTGCTATCACCTGGGCAACTGCAAAATATCAAAACTGTTAGAAACAAAAATGTCATTTTTGGTACGAGAAAATGTATCATACTTGGAACAAACAAATCTAGTGTCAATCAATACTTTGAAGAGACTTGCAATGATAAAAACAAGCAAATTGTCCACTTGTACCTGTTTCAACATTATCAGAAACACAGAAACATTTTCGCGTGACCAACAATTGCAATGATTGGTCCTGAATGAGCAATCATGACTGTCCTCTGACAAAAATGCGTCATTTGGCAATGCAACATTCTACATGTATATATTATACATGAATTGTTTGACAGTATGAACACTGGTTTAGTAACTCTCAATATGGACATAGGCCTATAGTTGAATAGTAAACAAAATCCATGTTATACTGTCCTTACACAACTGTACCACTTTAATATTACATAAACAGTCAAGGTTAAAGATCTATACAAAAGTTAGCAAACTGGAATCATAATTTTTGCCATTTTATGCATAATTTACATTAATTTACACAAACGATTTGATAAAGAATGAAGCACAAACACTCAAAAGAAATGTCTGTTTGAAAGGTGTGAAGTTGCGAGAATTTTCCGAATTTGTACATAAGGCAAACGCAAAACAATTCAAAAGTACCCGAGGTTTTGGGTATTATTCTGTATACTAAGTTTTGCACAGCACTGGTCTATGGAAGGGTGTCGTGCAGCCATTTGCGTGTGGTCACATTAGTTTGTTTGAATGCCATATTACTACATTGATCGGATAACAGGGTAGGAGGAGGCCTTTGTCACAAAAGTTGAAGACATCTCACACAACTTTTTCCTAAGATGATGCGATTCAAGATATTTTCTCAAAAGAAATGGAAAGGAGAGGTGGATTCTCCTGTTTAATTGACGATTAGATTGTAGATTTATAATAGTACTCAGTGGTCACCCAAGATACAAGGTCAATTTAATATCACTTTCAAGTGACACCCAGAATGCTTAGTACAGTGCTGTTTAAAGATTTCAATGAATCATTTTGTACAGGAATTGTTGATTGACTTTTCACATTGACTGATTGATTGATTGATAGATTGAAATTTTTTTTGGGGGGGGGGTTCAGTAGAATGAAGAACTATGCTGGGTATATTTGTATTCATGATATAAGAGAATTCTGAACACATGTATTTGTATTGAAACCCTTTTGTTGACTTTTCTATTCATTATCGAGCCTCTATTGTCCTCTGAAAATATAGTTTTTATTGTTATTGATTGTTAGTTGTTGGGTTTTTTTTGGGGGGGGGGGGGTTGGGGGGGGGAGGGGGTTGCAGAGCATTGATTTTACATAACATAACATTAACAATACGAGCTACTTGTTTCAACTGAATGTGTCTCGTGAGCGTGGTGCATTCATAGGGAACAGGGTGAGAGTTATGACTTGGTGGGAGATTATTTAGACTCGGAAATCTCCCTTTGCTGTTTCCTTCAGGTGAGGGAGGTCTTGACTGACAACTTGTCTGACGAGCTTAGCATCGAGGCCGATGTTACAAAGTGACAACACACGTAACTCAAGGAGACCTTGGAGATGACGGGTGAGAGCCCTCACTGCATCCAAACTGAATGCATTGTCATCAAGGTCAAGCACTACTAAACCATGCCCAGCAGGAAAGATGCTGATCAGGTCCTTCACATCATCATCTACCAACCCGCATACACGGAGCTGCAAGACTGTAAAGGATGACAGGATGTGGCTGACATCTCCCAGCCGTGCATGCAGGTTGGTGCCATACAGTGAGAGATGCCCCAACCTGCATCCTTCCAGTGCCTTCAATAAATCAACAACCTCATCCAGTGATCGTTGGAACATACCCAAACCAAGGCTGCTTATTTGTTCCTGCCTGCAGAAAAAGCTGTGTGATACACGCCCCAC